GAACGATTCGTCTCGAACGACCGTTGAAAACGGGTCGAAAGAATCCACGCCATTCGTTTAAAATTCGTCATAAAATCATTTTTAGGACTTGGTTGGCTGGAAAATACGATATATTATAGGCTCGTGCCTTTAGGAAACGAAAAATCGAATTAATGGACGTCGAATACTGTGCCGGAGTCATTTGTGACTCATACTGATATTTCACTGATACTGATATATTTTCTCTTGCTTGAAACTGGACGTACGTTCCCCTTCGACAGAGCGTTGTAAACGAATGTAACCACTTGCAATTTAAACAAATAAAGAAGACAGTATGTTTTTTGTCTCTTTTATGTCTGTTTTGTAGCCTGTAAAACTTTAAACTTGTTAAATCTGTAATAATAAATCAGTTACAATAATGAGTCAAAAATGACTCTGGCACAGTACTGAGAAATTTAATGCGTAATAAATGGAGTAGTTGATAGCTGGTCGTGCTATAAATCGATTCTGCACCGTTTAAATGGAACACGAGTCCCATAAAATGAGTAATTCAGTAGAAAAGAAAATGTTAAACAGTGAATTTTTCATATTTTCATTAATTTTATAGCTTGAAGAAGCGTTCGTTTGGGAACCACTGGTAAGTGGAAATAAGTTAGCGATACAATGTTAAATTACAGTGCGAAAAGTGGCGATAAACGTTTATCTGGCACCCGCATGGCTACGCCACTGGCTACCAAGAGTGTAAAAATTGATAACCACCGTTTTATTAAATTCTTCGATGCACGTACGCGCGTATCGTAGATGGTATCGTTCGAAAATTGATAACAGGAATTCGTTACGCCTTCAATTACCCTTTTAATACAGTTTTATTGCCGCCATTTAACAATCGCAGATAACAACTATATTATATTATATTATATAAATATTCCCAACTTTCCAGAAACACCATTCCCAACGAAATGAAATGAATTGTGAAACGATGGCTATCTCGAGGAACGAGAGTTAGTTTAACGAGGTCACGACCCCCCTAAATTGCGCCGATGGACTCGTAATCGCGCGATTCTGCAATTTTAATGCCCTTCTTTACCCGTTAAAAGTGTACAGGGTGTCGCGTTTGAAACTCGATATTTTTTTTTTAAATTACTGTGATTTAAGTTTCGAAATAGTTGCAGATCATTTTCTTTCGTTCGAGATTCAGCGTACACGCGTTATGGCGCAATTTCCTTTTCGTATCAGCGAGTGGTATCGCCCCATAACGAGCCCCGCTGCTTTAATTTTTTATTACACGGGGAAATCTTTGCAGAGGATCTTTATGCGTCGTCGACGCCATTCGAAACGGATATGCAAACGTCCCGAAATAAATTGTCGATAATAATAGCCATTATTTCCATAATTGTTACTGGGAATAAGCATGCCACTTGATATTCGTCGCGATATTAGATACCCTCCGAGCCCTCGAGAGCCGTGGTTTCCCCCTCACATTATGCAATTTCGCGAATCGTCTCGACCATCGTAGTCTCGAGTCTTTTGTGCACCGCCGGAAGAAAATAAACTGTTTGTTTTTACGCGTATCGCGGAATATTATCAGAGTCTTCGCGGGCAGACTCGGAGAATATTCAAACGGTATTTAAATTTATTAGAGCGGACGCGGTTGGCCCGCGATGTATTTTATTAAACAGTGGCTTCAAAGGATTCCCTAAATTTCTAAAACCGTGAAAGTTTAACGAATTTTCGTTGGAAATGTTTCGTGAAAATAGTGGTTTTCGAAATATTATTTTCGCGTGGAAAGATCGACCGTTTGGGTGGAAATCGAATGGTGGAGTCTAGGATAGCAGGATGGAATGTTCCTGAGAAAATCGAAACAAACGCGTCAAGGTGGCCCAATTTGAATAAGTGGAAATGGTGATTCACTGTGCATTGTGTTGGTTGGGAAAAGAGACACCTTTGAAAAAAGAGGGGGTTAAAGGGAGGAAAGAAAATGGGAGGAATAAGCTTTGACGGCGGCATCCCCGCGGCAACCAATGTAGAAACATAAACGAGCTGGTGGATAAACCCTCTCCAAGATTTACAGTCGAACGACTTCCTTCGAGCTATTGAAACTTTACCGCAGACGCGACAGTTTTCGACGAGAGTCCATGAGATTCGCTGCTGCGGGTACGAATTAACCGGGAATTGGATTTATGAACGCAAGGTAATTCTATAATGGGCCACCGGACCTTAAAAACACGACGAGAGATCGAGAAAGATCTTTCGAACTTTCAATCGGGGGAAAGTTTCCGTAATGCAATCTCTGTGCGCTGCTGGAAGTGGTCGAAATGATCCCAGATTTCCAATAAAAAATTGCATAAAGTTGGATTCTTGAAAATTGACCGTAGTTTTCAATACGAGAATTATTTTCATTGCGTTATATATTTTTTCGAGTATTTATCGTTTCAATTTCTTTGCAAATAAATACACCATACACTAAACTTATTGAAAGTGGTCAAAATTACTGGTAATTTCTAGTAAAAATTGTATAAAGTTCGATTCTTAAAAATTGACCGTAGTTTTCAATACGAGAATTATTTTCATTGTATTATATATTTTTTCGAGTATTTATCGTCTCAATTTCTTTATAAATAAATACATCATACACTAGAATTGCTGAAAATGGTCAAAATTATTGGTAATTTCTAGTAAAAATTGTATAAAGTTCGATTCTTAAAAATTGACCGTAGTTTTCTATGAGAGAAGTATTTTCATTGCATTATATATTTTTTCGAGTATTTATCGTTTCAATCCCTTTGCAAATAAATACACCATATATTAGAATTATTGAAAGTGGTCAAAATTACTGGTAAATTCTAGTAAAAATTGTATAAAGTTGGATTCTTAAAAATTGACCGTAGTTTTCAATACGAGAATTATTTTCATTGTATTATATATTTTTTCGAGTATTTATCGTCTCAATTTCTTTATAAATAAATACATCATACACTAGAATTGCTGAAAATGGTCAAAATTATTGGTAATTTCTAATAAAAATTGTACAAAATTGGATGTTTAAGAATCGACCGTAGTTTTCCATACGAGAATTATTTTCATTGCATTATATATTTTTTTGAGTATCTATCGTTTCAATTTCTTTTAAAATAAATACACCATAACTCTTGATAGTTCTCTATACACTAGAACTATCAAAAGTGGTAAAAATGATACCTAATTTCCAATAAGAATTGCACAAAATTTACTCGACTAAATTATTCAAAATTCATTACCTTACTTTAAGGTAATAACTATAAAAGGTACTTATATAATCTATAGTACCTATATAACCTACTTATATAAGAAAATGAATGGAAAATTTATTTCTTTGATACAAATAAATATCCAAAAATAAATAAATTTTAATATCTATGATATCAATAAATATACTCTAACTAATTCGTAGCAAATACGGTAGAAAAACAAGTAAAATTTTTCCAATTCACAGTGTCTGACCAGGCGTTGACTCATACTACTTGCAACGGAGTTTTCAGGGGAATTACCCACTTTAGGTACAACAAATGGCAATCTCAGTCAACTACATGCGAATACACATTTCCAAACACGATTGTTTACCGAATTTTAGAGTCAACAGCCCCCCTCCCCCAACGATTCTCGACTCTCCTCCGCGGTGATTCCCCGTCGCCAATTAAACTTCACCCCGTCCGTATAAACGACGAAGTTCAGTCTTCTCGCGATAGAATTCATAATCCAATTTCTCCAAAGAGGGGGGAGGAGGCGCGATGGTTTTTCGTGTTATTAATCGTCGGTATCTCGGTCTCCAGGACACAGAAATATTTACGGAGGGGGAGAAGGTGAGGGGAGAGGGGGTAAAAAGGCACCGAGAGAGAGGCTCGAGGCAAGTCCAGTCGAACGATAAATTTACGTCGTTAATTCCCCTTCGTTGCCCCCTCTCTTCCCACCCCCACCTCTCCTCCACCGTTTGGCGGAGCTGAATTGGTCCGCCTTTGTCGAGCACCGGGACTGCCAACGGCAATAAATTTACGATTCCGATATCGGACCCGCTAAAAGGTTACCCACGAATTAATAACTGGTCATTCCATAAAGGAATCGGGGTCTGGGTTAGGTCGAAGCCCGATAAGACTCGTAATTATATCGGCGGGGCGTAACGCGAGCCCCCCCGGTCTCTTATTTCGTTAAACATTCAGAGCCACTTGATTGTCCAATTACCGGAGATATCGCCGCGGTTCGATTCTAAATTGGAAATAGAATTTCGCGATCAGCTATCGATCTACCCGGCAGCGAAGGTTGACTACGTTCGCGTGTTCCCTTTACGCTAGGAGAAAGAACAATCTCTGTACGAAAAGGTCGCGGTACTTCGAGCCCGTAATTTCTGGATTTGCGTCGCACATTTTTGCGGATATCTCCGATGCTGGATTAATTATTGCAACAGGGTGGGTGTTCTGACCGTCGAAATTTATGGCCCGTTAGCGATTGTGATCGGGAGTTACGTATAATTCCGTAGTCGGGAAGATTAATAATGCCTTAGCGGAGAGATTCGTCGTCCGAAGTTGCCATGGCGAGGCAAGTTTCCACGCTCGTTCGAGTTTCTCGGGACCCTGTCGTTTCTAGTTCCATGTCGCGAGTAACACCGTGAAAATTAGATGTAACAATCCGAATCTCGAGGAGCTTAATAGTTTACGGCCACTGCAATCGAGCCAAAATTCGATTTATTTTCAAATAAATATTTAATAGCAATATTCTTTGGAATGTTACCGCCCCTTTCCCCCAAAAAATTGTCACCAATTATTGTTGGTATTTGTCGAGCCAAACGCGTGCAATTTCCTCTGAAAATTTCGTTGCAAGTAGTACGAGTCAACGCCTGGTCAGACGCTGTGACTTAATGCTAATGAATTTTACATAAAGTAAAAGGAATATACCCAGACGCGGTGTTGCAAATCGTGTAAACTTTTTTCTCGACGTTTCATCGACCGTGCGAAGGTGTTTTAACAGAAAGGAGCGCGTAAAAATAAGAAATGAGCAATGAAAGGGCAGTATATCGAGCGGTAACTGGAATCGTTCCGCCATATGTCATGTTCAATACCACCTCGAACACTTTTTATGGATATTGCATCGATCTATTGGACGATATTGGATCCCTGGCGGGTTTCGATTACACCATCAGAGAATCGTTCGATCGCCATTACGGATACAGAGAAGCACAAAATGGCGGCTGGAACGGAATGATCTACGAACTGATGCAAAACACATCAGACATCGCTGTGGGACCAATGTGGATAACGTCTGACAGAGCACAGGCAAAAATATCACTAAATTACATAATTTGAAACTCACATTTTATTGTATAAAACTTACATAAATTTTATAAATTATAATTAAATATGCTTGTGTCTAATTTAGTTACAATTTGTAGTTCTTTACTCCACCATTCTTATACTTATGTCTCCCTATTTAATATAGTTAAAATTGTGTTAAAATCTTCCAGGTGGTGGACTTCACGATTCCCTATCAGAGATTAAGCGGTTTCTCTATAATGATGCTGAAGAAGCAGAGGCAGATCCCCTTTCTTCGTTTCTTAACGATCCTGGAGATCGAAGTCTGGCTGTGTTTCGCGTTAGCTTTCCTCTCGACGACGCTTCTGTTATTTTTACTGGAGAGGTACTCGCCCTTTAGCTACCGTAACAATCGGGATAAATATCGAGACGAGCCAGACGACCGATTCTGCTCCCTGAAGGAGTGCTTCTGGTTCGCGTTCGCGTCCTTCACCCCGCAAGGCGGTGGAGACCTTCCAAAAAATTTGTCAGGGAAAATGGCTGCTGCTACTTGGTGGCTGTTTGGTTTCGTCGTTGTTGCAGCTTACACGGCCAATCTCGCTGCTTACGAAACGCTTGAGAGGCTGGAGAGGAGCGTCGAGTCCATGGATGATCTGACGAAACAGTATAGAATTCGTTATTCCACTTTGGCCAACTCCTCTGCGTTTAGATACTTCCAGGGGATGAAAAATGCAGAGGATATGCTTTATGAGTGAGGCTTATAACTTACTTTAGCGTTGCAAACTTGGCTACGTGGGTGGTGGGAACCTGGGAACATTGGAATTATTTTCATAAGCACATGTAGAAGCAAAATACATGAAGCTTACAACTTATTTTAACTTTGGTAACTTGGCTATCTTGGTGGGAACATGGAACATTTGGGATTGTTTTCATAAGCAAATGTAGAATCAGAATACATGAAGCTTACAACTTATTTCAACTTTGTAAACTTGGCTATCTTGGTGGAAACATGGAACAATTGGCATTATTTTCATAAGCAAATGTAGAATCAAAATACATGAAGCTTACAACTTACTTTAACTTTGTAAATTTGGAATTATTTAGAGTTATTTGGAGTTATTGGAATTATTTCTATAAGTAAATGTAGAATCAAAATGTATGAAGCTTCTAATTTACATTAACTTTGAAAACTTGTGGGTGGTGGGAATATGGAATATTGGAATTATTTTCATAATCAAATGTAGAATCTAAATACATGAAGCTTACATCTTACTTTAACTTTGTAAATTTGGAATTATTTAGAGTTATTTGGAGTTATTGGAATTGTTTCTATAAGTAAATGTAGAATCACAATACATGAAGCTTCTAACTTACATTAACTTTGAAAACTTGTGGGTGGTGGGAATATGGAATATTGGAATTATTTTCATAAGCAAATGTAGAATCAAAATACATGGAGCTTACAACTTACTTTAACTTTGTAAAATTGGAATTATTTAGAGTTATTTGGAGTTATTGGGATTATTTCTTTAAGTAAAAGTAGAATCACAATACATGGAGTTTACAATTTACATTAACTTTATAAACTTGGCTATCTTGATGGGAACATGAAACATTTGGAATTATTTTCATAAGCAAATGTAGAATCAAAATACATGAAGCTTACAACTTACTTTAACTTTGTAAATTTGGAATTATTTAGAGTTATTTGGAGTTATTGGAATTGTTTCTATAAGTAAATGTAGAATCAAAATGTATGCCTGAAGCTTACATCTTACATTAACTTTGTAAACTTGGAATTATGTAGAGTTATTTGGAGTTATTGGAATTATTTCTATAAGTAAATGTAGAATTAAAATGTATGAAGCTTACAGCATACTTTAATTTTGTAAACTTGGCTATCTTGGTGGGTACATGGAACATTTGGAATTATTTTCATAAGCAAGAATCAAAATACATGAATCTTTCTACTTATTTTAACTTTGTAAACTTGACTATCTTGGTGGAAACATGGAACATTTGGAATTATTTTCATAAGTAAATGTAGAATCAAAATACATGAAGTTTATATCTTACTTTAACTTTGTAAACTTATGAGTGGTGGGAACATGGTACATTTGAAATTATTTTCATAAGTAAATATAGAATCAAAATACATGAAGCTTACAACTAACTTTAACTTTGTAAACTTGGAATTATTTACAGTTATTTGGAGTCATTGGAATTATTTCTATTAGTAAACCCAGAATCAAAATACATCAAGCTTCATTTGATGCTTCATTCTTACATTGTTCTAGCTTTTACTCAATTGAATAGTCAATTGATTTTGACAATAAATCTTCCAATCGTTAACTGTCCACCCTCCCCAGTCAAGTCTTCTCTAATAAAATAGAAAATTCGTAAGTCGTCTGTGCTAACAGAGGAAGTAAAATGTCGTAGCAGAGCTTGGAGACGAATGACGCTAGATGAAAATACACCGGAATGGAACAGATCCAAGTACGCGGTCTGGGATTATCCCTTGGAAGACAAGTTCACGAAGATGTATTCCGCCATGGATGAAGTAGGATTTGTTCCAAGTGTGGAGCAAGCCGCGAAGATGGTACGGAATGTAAACCGTACTTACGAGTTCGCTTTTATAGCGGAAGCAGTGACCATAAAATATCTGACGATGACGAGCTGCGACTTCAGACAGGTCGGCGGTGAATTCAACAAGAAACCGTTCGCGTTTGCAGTGAGAAAGGGCTCCAAGTTGAAGGAGAGAATCGACGACGCGTGAGTTGTAATCGTCCCTCTCAACGTGATTGAATTTTTACTTCAAACTATAAAAAACTTTCCTCTTATAGCGACTCGACTAAATTCTCTATTTTAAGGATCACGGATCTGGCGATTGGGGGCAGATTAATCGAGCTGGAGACAAAATGGTGGACAGAGAATCCTCAAAGAGCCAACTGTCCATCAGATAAAGACTTCAATGCAGGATTTGGACTGGATAATTTAGGAGCTGTATTCTTGCTAATCCTCGTTGGTGCATTGCTCTCGATTTTAATATTGTGCTTGAAATACTTATGGTATCGACGGGATAGAAGAGTGCATAGAACACAAGCATCGATGCAGCGTCTGAGATCTAAAAAAAATCAAAGAAGTTAGCTCTATTTTACATTTCCTGTTGTTTTAAAAATTGCAATATTGTTCGTTGAATATTTATTAAAATTTTCATCCTTTAAGACCTCTAACGGGCAGACTCTAACACGATTACATTAGACTAACGAATCCCACCTACAAAGGGACCCTAATAGAAGTACCCGGATAACTGAACTCTCATCGACTTTTATCTTTGACGCCACGATATAAAATTATAGATTCATCGATTCTCTGTATTTTTCTTGACGTTTGCAACGTATCCTCCTTTCCACCTCCGACGATTCGCGAAGAGAAGTCGGTGCTCGAGTTACGAAGGGTATCGATGGCGCGTCGAAATGAAACTTTTATCAGATAACGGGATCTGCGGGCACGCGATGCGCGACATGCAAATACGGGGCGAAGCGTCGCGTCGTCGTTTACACGACGCTGCGTACGCGTCGAGTCGCTTTCGCCGCGACGCCCGGCCTCCTCGAACGGGGAATTTTTTACGGGACACGAAAAGGGTGAAATAGGAAGAGACAAACTGCGTTTGTGCGAGCGATTGATTAGGTCATCCCCGCGGCAACCGGCGGGCAAACACGAATAAAACAGACCACCCTTGGATCCGCGTCTCGGGGACTGCCCTCTCAGTTGCTTGACCGATTTCCGGCACGCGATATATCCCGCCACGTCGATCGCTTATTATTAGAAAATTATCCTAGAAGCGAGAGATCGGTTCTCCACGTTTCGCTCGGACGATTTTTAAATGAAGCTCGCGTGCTCCGCTGTTCTCGCGTGCGTTCTCCTCGAGCTTTCGAGTCGGTTTCCGGTTTCTGGACAGGGAAACGCGGCCATTGAGTCCACGGGAACCAGGCCCGTGAACCTCTGTGAGTACCTACAAAAAGAGTAGTGAGAGATCTCTTGTGGTCAAAGATTAAAATAACATAATAATTTTTAAATTACTGTCAAGTCATCATCAACGATGAGACCAACAAGGTGGCTAACAAGAGCGTAACAGTGGCTCTGAAGACGATCAAGGACAAGCACTCGAACCAATTGGGAAGAGTCTGGACAGTCCAGGTGAACGAGTCTGACGTGAACGATACTTTGGATAGAATCTGCAATTCTTGGGAATCTGCACTGGATGGAGGAGGAATGGAGGTTCCAGACTTGATCATAGACACCACGACAGCTGGCATGGGGGCCAAAATATCGAATTCCTTCGCGGCTGCCCTGGGAATCCCCACGTTGTCCGCTCAGTATGGCCAAGAAGGGGATCTTCTCTACTGGAGGAACCTAAACAGTGATCAGAGAGGATATTTAATTCAAGTGATGCCTCCAGCAGACCTGATACCAGAAGCCATCAGACAGCTGGCGATCCAGCTGAACATTACCAACGCAGCTATCCTCTATGATCACAATTTCGTCATGGATCACAAATACAAGAGTCTGTTACTGAACGTTCCTACAAGACACGTGATCAACGAAGCTTCTCAACAGGTGACAGAGATGAGGAGGCAACTGCCTCGTCTAAGAGACCTGGACATAGTCAACTACTTCATCCTGGGGGATGAAAACACCATAAACGTGGCCCTCGAGGCAGCTGAGTCGCTTAACTTTACAGGAAGAAAGTATGGCTGGTTCCTTCTGACTCCTGAAAGCAACGTTTGGCCTAGATGCGAATGTAGAAACATCACAGTCCTCTTCATGAGGCCAGAGTACAAGGACCAGAAGAAGCCAACAGTGGACGCTGCTCTGCCCAAACCACTCGTCTCCTCTGCATTCTATTATGACCTGGTCCAGCTGGGTGTCAGGGCGATGAAGCTGGCCTTGGACAGTGGAGAATGGCCTCTGAGACCTAAACAAATCACCTGTGATGAATACAACAACACAAACACTCCTGAAAGAAAGTTAGACTTCTTTGGGAAACTGAAAACCGCTTACAGCAACATGACTCCAACTTTTGCAGAGATTCATTGGGGGACCAAGAATGGCGAGCATCAGGCAAGGTTCGAGATGTCGATTAATTTGGTAAACATTGAAGAGGGGGTGGCTGCATCCATGGTGGGCAGTGGATCCTGGAACGCGAGCATCTCTGCACCCTTGAAGGCAAGTTTAGTGTACAATCAATCAATAAAAAGAGAAATGTTTTTAGTCACGCGAGGATGATCGAGTGTCATGCATAAATTGTCATAGAATTGCTGTTTCGCAGGGAGTAAAATGAATTTATTTTAGCCTCATTTATTCAACGTTATCGCGAGACATTCCGTATGCAAGAACTTTGTAGCGTTCGTTTATTTAATGAGCTTCCCTTATCGGCGACACTGTAGTTCTCAACGTGCTGTTAACAAAAATTACTTTCCACTCGATATAAGGAAAGTAAATTGCAGCAAAAGCAATTCTTTCAGCCCTGAACCTTGGCTAGCGCGGACGTATCCTTGACACGCGGTCGTTACATTTATTTACACGAATTGCTGATAACCGGGTGCACCGATGAAGATAGCGCATGCAACATTATTTTGTTTACCTAATGTAATACACCCCGACGACCATATAAAACTCTAACATTCGTGAGCTTCTGCTTATTTTTAACTGCCCAGAGGTGGACTTGCGATTGTACAATTTCTATTTAACTTGTCTAATTTGATAAAAGGTGACCAACAAGGGCATCATGAACACGACAGCGGTGAAGAGCTACAGAGTGGTCACTGTAATCCATCCTCCATTCGTGATGTACAATGAGGAGAAGAATGAGTATTATGGCTTCTGCATAGACCTCCTCAACGAGATCAAGGAGACTGTGGAGTTCCAATACGAGATCCGTGAAACGAGCGACAAGCTCTACGGTAATTTAAGTCCAAACGGCACCTGGAACGGAATGATGAACGAGTTGATTGAAAAAAGGGCTGACATTGCGTTGAGCTCGCTGTGGGTGACGGCGGAAAGGGAAAGAGTCGTGGATTTTACCGTGCCCTATTACGATCTCGTAGGTCTCTCCATCATGATGCTGAAGACCAAGACGTCCACCTCTCTCTTCAAGTTCTTAACAGTCCTGGAGAACGAGGTCTGGTTCTGCATACTGGCTGCTTACCTGTTCACCAGCGTCCTGCTCTGGATCTTCGACCGCTGGTCGCCGTACAGCTACCAGAACAACAGAGAGAAGTACAAAGACGACGAAGAGAAGAGAGAATTTAACTTAAGAGAGTGTTTCTGGTTCTGCATGACCTCGCTGACTCCTCAGGGCGGCGGTGAAGCACCCAAGAATCTCTCTGGAAGACTCGTCGCGGCTACCTGGTGGTTGTTCGGGTTCATCATCATCGCCTCCTACACGGCCAACCTGGCTGCGTTCCTGACAGTCTCCAGGCTGGAGATACCCATAGAGACCTTGGATGACCTCAGCAAACAGTACAAGATCCAGTATGCTCCTGTGAAGAATTCACCTGCTTATATTTATTTCAAGAGGATGGCCGCCATTGAGTGGAAGTTTTATGAGTGAGTCTGTTTATCTTAGTTAACTTTGAGACAAAGCAATTAGCTTAAGATGATTCTGATTAGGTATAGAATAATGTAATTTTCTGATGGTGCATCAATCTTTGTTGTACTCTATACTTTTTGAGTGAGTTTATTTGCCTTGGAACTTAACTTTGAGGCAAAACAATTAGCTTAAGATGACCCAGGCCTAATTAGATATAGAATAATTTCCTGACCAATCTTTGTTGCACTCTATAGTTTTTGAGTAGAAGTTTTATGATTGAGCATATTTACCTTGGAAGTTAATTTTGAGGCAAAGCAATTAGCACAAGATGACTCTGATTAAATATAGAATAATGCAATTTTCTGATAGTGCATCAGTCTTTGTTGCACTCCAAAGCTTTTAAAGACAGTGTTTATGATACAAAAATAACTTACCACAGCATTTGGAAGGAGATGAGCCTAAACGACAGCTTGTCAGACGTGGAGAGGGCTCATCTAGCAGTATGGGACTACCCTGTGAGCGACAAGTACACAAAAATGATGCAAGCTATGGCCGAGGCTGGGTTTCCCGAGACCACAGAAGAAGCTTTGAGGCGAGTTAGACGCCTAGACTCGAACAACGAGTTCGCCTACATTGAGGACTCGACCACCATCAGGTACCTCACAATGATAAACTGTGATCTGGTACAAGTGGGGGAGGATTTCTCCAGGAAGCCCTACGCCATTGCTGTTCAACAAGGATCTCCCTTGAAGGATCAGTTCAACAACGCGTGCGTTTGTCGATAACAGCTTTATTTGTTAACTAAACGCTTCTTTTATACAATTCTTTTTCGTTTCAGGATTTTGATACTGCTGAACAAGAGGAAACTGGAGAAGCTGAAGGACAAATGGTGGAAGAAGAACCCTAATAAAAAAGATTGCGACGCGGAGAACAGCCAAAGCGACGGGATCAGCATCCACAATATCGGTGGCGTCTTCGTGGTCATATTCCTTGGTATCATTTTTGCCTGTTTCACCTTGGCCTTCGAATACTGGTACTATCGTCACCGTGCAAAGGTCACCAAGATCACTCGTACTAGCCCCATCAAAAGCAAATTTACCAAAGTGAAACCTCTCAGATTCAACCTGCAGCCAACTCCCACGCACGAATTCCAAGCCGCCCAGTTCAGGTCGAGATTCTAAGTTCGCCAAATATTAAATATTTCTAATCGTTCCTAAAAAAAAAAAAAAAATAACCGCTAATTCGTCGAAGTATAAATTAAAAAAAAAAAAATAATTTTTGATTAATAGGAATGGAATGGGTGCCATAAATAATACACATACGTCAGCGTTTGCAATGCCTTTATTTGATCACTCCCTTTGCGGTACATTATTTCGCGCAGAGAATACAAGTTTAGATTTTCTTTTTTTTGTTTCATTCCATCGTTTATTTTTTTTTGTTTTCTTCGCATCGGATACGTCACGAAACAATTTCGTTCGTTGTGTCGTGAATAACCCTCATTTCGCGTCGTTCAAACGTGTCACCTCAACCTCGGTTTCTTATAATAATTAATCCGTTTCCTTCGTTCAAAAGGCATCCATTTCTTTGATAACGTCTCTTGTACGCCATCGCTGTACCTTCGAGCCGAGGGCAGGCGTTGCATCCTCCCCGCCGTACACGTTATATCTCATATATTTTTTTATCTTTTTCGTTTTTACATGTACGTTCACGGCCATCCAATATATTTCCTCCGGGGGGAGCACAGGAAAAGCATTGGATACCGGGGGGTTTCCTTGAAACATGGGGATCCGGTCGATGAGTGGCGGAATTAGGGGGCATTAATCTTCTACGAAGATAAATTATAATTAGGGGGAGATACAATTAAGATAATCCATTAATAATTACGAAAAGAAAACAACAAGAAAATAGAACAATAATTCGACGAACGATTTTCTCGATTCAATTGTCACGCGGCAACATTACGATCGGATTTTCTTTTCCACTTTATTTATAATAAGTACTCCTCGACATAAAACGCTTCCATTCCCCTCTCTCAATGCTCAACATATAGTTCTATCTTTCTTTATATTTTTTTGATAACGTTTTTTTTTTTTTGGTCTATCCTTACTTTTTTCCCCCGTTCCATGTCTCTTTCTATCTCTTTCACTCTCGTTGTTCGAGGCGCGTCATCCAATGAAACGCGCCCCGGGAATGCCTACCGCATTGGACGAGAAACAGAAAAAAAGGAAAACTGCTTGTGCTACGAGCTCTACAGAAAATCAGCGCACTAATTTTTTTTTCTTTTGCGTTTGTTTTTTTTTCTTCTTCTCTTCCCTCCTTCGAAAGTTCGCATAAAATTATTTAACAAGCTACAAAACGAAATCCTCGTGAACTACATCTCTCAATACAATATTTTTTTTTCCTTTTCTTTTTTATTATTATTATTTTATCTTCTCCCTTTTTGTCGCGCGCGTGCACGCCAAAGCACATCGTTAAACGCTGCGTAACATGTACACCATTTTTTTTTGCTTCACCTTGTTCCATTTCGTTTTTCTTCGTTTTATTTGTCAAAGGGGTTAATTAATAATTATCTAAATGAACATTTAATATTCCTTTCGTCCTCGCACCTCGCTTCGTATCGCTTTGCGTTATTTTTGCTTTTTACTTCTTTTGTTTAACGACAACGGGGAATATTTTTTTTTTTTTTTTATTATTATTACTATTAATTATTATTATTATTAACGGCACCGTCTTGGATACATGCATAACAAATTCCACATGCCAAGAGGCTCCCCTTCTTGTCGTGTTCATTAACGGTTTGCGTCTTCGTCTTGGAAAAGAAACGTATAGCTAAACCTCGGATCTCCAGTCAATTCGAGCGTCTTTTTGTGCTCGTATTTATCCAGTTCATAAGGTCAACGGACGTAATGTCGTAAGAGGCTGGCATCCGAAGCTGCTACTGTGCCTTCTGTCGCAAACAAAAAAACACATTAAACATGTAACGATGCAACTAAGCGAGGCAACTAGCGCGTGCAAGTTTAATATTTTCCACGGTAACGTTTCAATGTCATAATATAACGTTATTATACAATTTACCTCCTACAACACGATTCATAGATTGTGAGAACCCTCCTACAACACGGGATCTTATCAAAATTTTACTGGGGGATTCTAGAGACCAAAATAAGACGAAAATCAAGAATACCAATTTCTCGATTGAGGCTTCGTTAAAAAGTTATTAACGTTTAAAGCTCCGTGCACGCAGCGCGCGCGGTTCCCGTCTCACAAACGCAACTTTAAACGTTAATAACTTTTTAACAAAGCCTCAATCAACAAATTAGTATTCTTCATTTTCGTCTTATTTTGGCCTCTAGAATCCCTCATCAAAATTATAATTTACTAAATTAAGGTTGCGTTAAATTAAAATAATATACTCATATAGACTTAAAAAAAAAAATTTGCTTTTAATAAGTTTTCGGTAACTCCCCTTTTTATACTGATTCTAGGTCTCGTATAACATTTTCTAGAAACCTATCTACCGTGTTATAGGAGGGTTGCCTGCATTGCATAGTAAAAGCGTAAATTCATAAATTTTGCAATCAGAACATCAATTGACTTAAAGTTATCTAATCCTCCATATTTGCGTCATTGAAAACCTGGCCCTCTATTTTACAAATGGCGTACGCTTAGGTTTTCATGAAGCGACGTCAGATGGGGCTGACGGAATCTAATTCTAAACGCGATTAGCCATTCGGTGGCCTTGAGTGGTCGACTGACTCTAATCGAAGTACACGTGCCAATTTCGTCAGTAAAAGGGTACACAAACTACATTAATAATACATTTACCAATAAGTGCGTATATTTACTGCAGTCTTACGCTTTTACTACACGTACGTGCATACACATGTGTCGGAATTACATAACATAACATCGAAAAAAACAAAAACCAAAAAGAAACATTGCTACGAAATTTCGCGTGGATTTCGAATATTTTTTTTCAAATTATTCTAATATAACCTAAAAAACAGTGTGCAACGAGCGTGTAAAAAAAAAATAGAAAGCACTCGACGTGTAATGTTAATTCGCTCAGTGGCGTGTTATTACCTCTTCCTATCATTGTGCAGAGGTACATTAGAACGTACCCAGCCCAGTTGACCCAATGCATAGCAATCTTTCTCAATTTTCTCCTCTTCGCGGATAACCGTATCTTCCACTCCGATCGGAGTATAGTGAAAGTGATCCTGCTCGGAGAGTATTCTGCGTTTGACCGGAGATCGAACGGGCTCGGTTTGTACGCACTTGTCACATTGACGCACCCTGAATTTCAACGTTAAATTCGACGATACCGGAGGGATCGGCGAGTCGTTCTCTCGATACTCCATGTACGGACTCTCCCCGCCAGGAAGGTATAACAAGTTTCCTGACTCGGATCTACGATACGCAACCCGCTCTAAAGTATTGTTCACAGGGAACGTGGTTCCATCGGCCCACTGACCGTCATCCTTTATGGGACGAAAGTGCGTGCGAGCGGATGTGAGTAAATCCTCGTCCGGTTCCGGCAGGCTGTTCACCTTCAGATTTGAACGGGGTTCCTTGCGCGTCCCAATGGGCGTCTTACGCGGCGCGACTGGAAAGAAGCAACTCCCCGTCTGAGGGCTGTGGCTCAAAGCAGTCAGGTTACTGCCAAGCCCTTTCCAGCACCATGATCCATCCATAACCGTGTCGGACCAGTTAACGTTGTTGCTCTCTGCAACGGTAAATTATTTCTATTCGTTTACACCCGGTCCGCGCGTCGCCAGCAGCTAACTTACACAGATGGTAATAGACAAAAAATAATAATAAAATACACATTTTTAGCACGACACAGATACCCTAGCAATCTACATCTAACTTAATGCACATTCATTTACTTACATTTCAGAACGGTCTCCTATCCGTTAGATATACTTAAGTCAATATTACTATATCGTGATACTCATAAATAGCATGTAATGTTCGAATACTGACCTGATTTATTTTTGTTACTACATTCATCCGCGTAATCTTTAATGCTGATTAAGTCGATATCCCATGGAATGAGCGGCGAGTCGTCAACGATTGATTCTTGGTATGGCGTATCGGTAGCATAACCATTGTCCGAGGTGGATAAAGTAAAGATTGTCTCTGTAGTGTCTGTCGGCCAGAGGGGTCCTGAAGGAATAGAGAGAGTGGGAGCTGCCCAGATAGAGGCTGTGTCCTGTGCATTGCCTGGTCCTGAATCCCAAAGTGCTTCCAAGCTCTCGTCGAACTTCGCTTGCAATTGCGCCAATCTAAGTTGATCTAATTCCAATTCCCGTTCCTTTTCTCTTTCGCGCTCCATCGATTTAGCAAACCCAAAGCTTTCTTTGTCTTCCGTTCTCCGCGAGTCAATACTCTGAAAAAATAAATCCATAAATAAAGATCCTCAGATCCTCAAACTGATCAACTATCACTCGACCCTTACAATGGACATTTTAGTCTTCTTATTGCGTGATTTATTGTTGTTCTTGTTATTGTTATAGTTGACTCCGTTGATTTTGTTATTGTTATTATTATTATTGTTGTTGTTATTGTTGTTTCCAAAGTTTCGATCCTTCCTTTGAGAAAACTTTTTGATAGTCGTAGGTTGCAAAGCCGGAAACGCTGCGTAGTATCTGAGAGCCCTGTCGCGAGGTGTAAGCAATTCTAAGTTCGTTTTGTCTTTACCATCGGACTTCGCCGATTCCTCCTCTTTCTCGTTTGAGCCACCCCCTTCCAAGTCCCGCAATTTCATACATAATTCATCAACTAGCGTTTCCACCCCGCATTTCTGTGAAAATTACACGTGCGATTAACAAAACGCCCTACGATGGGCACACAGATGTCACTTACGTTGTCAGCAGCACTTGTCAGACATTGCACAACAGCACGTCTCTGTTCTCTATCCCCTTGCGTCGGTAGCTTTGCTTTAGGTCGGGCACGAATGCGACGTCCTCCGTTTCTACCTGTACCAACTGCTTCTTCTGGAGGACTGAGGGCCGAGTCGGGGCGACGCAGTAGGCTAAGCACAAAACGCGAGTACGCAACTGGGTCGATTCCCAATGCGTCCAAGCGTGCTTCCAGCCACTGGCGTAACTCCTCCTCGGCCCTTGTGCCAAACACTTCACCACCTCCAGGGGACGCCGCTATCCCAACCAGGTGTAATGCCGGGTTCCTCATGTCCTTTTAATAAAGCTCCTCCTAGACCCAAGAACTTTTACAGACTCCGCTACCTCCAGGGTGATCATCTTCTCTCCTTAAAAGACACAGAAAACCTGAAATCCTAAAACCCTGCGTATAATCTCGTTACGAAAGAAAGAAAGTAATAGATCTTAGTTACCTATTTACAATAGAGTTACGGTATTATATTATTGTCCTTTTAATGTTTCAATTTTACTGGATCCACCACCTTGACATTTATTAGCTTGATAAATGTTCGTTTGCTTCTCTTCGTTACTTATAATTTCTTGCTTTTAGTTACGTTGCCCGCAATTCGGTGGTAGTGGTTCTTGCGGTTGTAGTTACGTTGATTAAAAGTTACTTAGTTCTTGTGCACAGGTGGTGGATATTTTGTGAAAATGAGGCGGCAGGTCTTAGCGAAGGATAACAAGTATAGTTTCCTTCCCATTTTGACACTGGAAATATCAGAAATCGTTGATTATTCTTAAAGACATTCGTACCGTCTACGTCAATTTTAAATAAATAAATAACTGCATACCAGTTTCTTTTCAATACATTCGTTTATTCGTACGATCAAAAATATAATTAAGCAAATTCGACAGTTTCAATTTTCTTGTACATATTATTAACTTATGTCTATAAAAAGTCGTTAATATATTTCTTATATAAGCAATATTAACCGTCAGTCGTTCAAAACTTTCACTCCGATATTATCTAATTCTAAATTAATATGCCAATGTGCTAACGGTCTAAATACTGGTCTAAATAAAAAATATATAAAAAGAAAATACTACGTATAAAACAAGGCTATATCTATCATTTTCCTAATTGGGCTCGATTAGTTTCCAATTTGTTTGGGAATTGTAATTATTGCTAAGCACGTAGAGAAAATGCGTCGTAAATGTTCAGAAAGTCCAATTGTCATTCTCAGATCAATTATCAAATTGTGTCACGTGTAATATTTATTTTCGTTCGACGAACACAACGCAGCGCAACAAAGTTCGTAACGTTGGTCGTGTTAAACGGTAACTCGTGCAAAAACGAGGCAACGTTTATTTATCGAATGAGAAAAAAAAAAAATATAAATTTACATTAAGGTTTGCCCGCATCAACGGGCACGCGAAATTATTGGAATATTTATCGTCGTGCTGTTCGTGAGTCTGCAACGTCAATTACCGATGCGTGTCCGTTCAGACTCCAATCGGTCGCAAATTTTTTTTTGCGCAAAACGTAAGACGTAGTTAGGAGACGTACGTTTACGTTAGAGGCTGTTCGGTCACGTTGCACGAACCGTGGATCTAAAAACGCTTGTTCCACGTCGTGATTTCGTGGAACGGTTACTATGTCGCATTTGGTAAATTACAATCAGCCGCGGGGATCGGTGGTAACGTTGCCAAAAACGCTTATCGCTAGATTACGCGGGGCGCGCGAGAAGAGAGCAAAAACGTGAAGGCAACAGAATTTTAGGGTATTCCACGCATCGTCGACCAGCCTCGTCCACTTGATAGATGTATCTCGAACTGGTACACGAAAACAAACTGCACTTTCGAGCGCATAACGCTGCAACACGAGTGTCTATATGGATTGTTGGCAGAGGCATTGCTCGTGCAATGCAAATAACCTTGCCGATTGCGCTATGCGTTTCGCCTGAGTCATAGTTCTCGCGACAAGAACGACGGGACTGCGTGACGTTACGAAACAAAAACAAAATCTGTTTTACTGCGACGTGCACTGTCAACTCGCGCCGAACACGATAGGCACTTCTATTACGGCGATTAATGAAAATGTTCGAATTCTGACGTACCTGCATGCCTCGAGAGATGATTTTCACCCCGGCCTCTTCTACACACCCCACTCAGAGAAAAACATGGCGGCTACTAAAGCCTCAGTGCCCCTCCCCCTTCCAGATACTGGCAGACGGTCAGTTCTTGCACAATATTTGCAGTGCGTTCTGAAATCGATCTTTCGCTGCACTACGTGTTCTTGATCTGTTTCGACGGTTACCGCGGGCGTTCTCAAACTGACCGCCAGCGACTCTCGGTAGGAACAATCGATTTATTCGGAAGTCGATAAATTGCTAGAGGTCATTTAGGAGTCAATGAACGAATTCGTTTAGATAGAACGAATAATAATTGATAGATCATTCTTTTCAATGTCATATGTTTATAAATCGCCGATTCTTTTTGTAAAAGAAATTACATATCCTGTCGAGCATGATGTTTTACTGATATTAAATCGAATTTATCGACCCGTAATCGCATGACCTGAAATGACCTTCGGTACGGAAATGTACTCGATAGAACATAACTTATTGAACAGATACTGATAGTTTAGAAAATGGCTTTAAATTTTGATGAAATGAAATGCACAAATAGAAATTGAATTTTTTATTTCATTCTGCATACAGTTTATTTTGTAAAGCGATTGATACTTAAATAGGTTGAGAAACTAATTTGAACTTACAGAGTAAACGGTTACATTTATCGTCTTCATACAAGTTTCATTGCGTCGCTTACATTATTGTGTACCATTTATCTTTTAAAAAATAACATTCACTACTATGTAGAGATTTTCGTAAAAATTACAGGAAAATTATATGTAATAAAGATTAATAGCTTACACGGTTCAAATTTATATTGAAGCACATACTGCATTGCAAAGGAATCGCAACGCCATCTAGGGCAAAACGTGCATATGTGCAATCGTGAAATATTTGGCGGATAATTTGAATAGTATTGCATCTCGGTAGTATTATCTCCTAGTATTTCAACATATAAAGACTGTTACTGCCTACAGCTGGCCTCTGCTGATCAGTGTTCGCCATTACAGATATTTCTGACAACACATAAAGACTACCGATGGTTTCAGTTGGCCTCTATCAACCTCTGCTGGCCTCTGCCAGTATGTATTGGTCTCTCCTTGTCTCTCCTGGCTTCTGCTGATCTCTGCCAGCATGTACTGGTCTCTCCTTGTCTCTCTGGCTTCTGCTGATTTCTGCCAGCATGTACTGGTCTCTCCTTGTCTCTCCTGGCTTCTGCTGATCTCTGCTGACCACTGCTTGCCCCTGGTGGTCTCTCCTAGCCTCTACTGGCTTCTGCTGGCCTCCGTTCGCCTCTGCTGACCTCTGCCAGTCTCTGCTGTTCTCTGCTGACCAATGCTGACATTTCTGGTAAGGTATAATGATTGTTACTGACCACTGTTGATATTTCCGACAACGTATAACGAGTTACTAACTACTGTTTGCCTTTGCTAGCCTCTGCTGACCTTCGCTAACATCTACTGACTTCTGTCAACCTTTACTAGCTCCTGCTGACCACTGCTGATACTTCTGGCAACGTATAATGAATGTTGCTGATTGCTGCCAGCCTCTACTAGCCTCTGGTGATCTGTACCAGCATGCACTGGTCTCTCCTTGTCTCTGCTGACTTCTGCTGATCTCTGCAGACCACTGCTGACCAACTTTGATGCTTCCAACAATGTATAACGATTACTACATGTTACTGCTTGCCCCTGGTGGTCTCTCCTAACCTCTACTGGCTTTTGCTGGCCTCTGCTCGCCTCTGCTGACCACTGCCAGTCTCTGCTGTTCTCTGCTGACCAATGCTGACATTTCTGGTAAGGTACAATGATTGTTATTGACCACTGTTGCTATTTCCAACAACGTATAACGGGTTACTAACTACTGTTTGCCTTTGCTAGCCTCTGCTGACCTCCGCTAACATCTGCTGGCTTCTGTTAACCTCTGCTGGCTTCTGCTGACCACTGCTGATACTTCTGGCAACGTATAATGAATGTTGCTGATTGCTGCCAGCCTCTACTAGCCTCTGGTGATCTGTGCCAGCATGTACTGGTCTCTCCTTGTCTCTGCTGACTTCTGCTGATCTCTGCTGACCACTGCAGACCAACCTGATGCTTCCAACAATGTATAACGATTACTACATGTTACTGCTTGCTCCTGCTGGTCTCTACATGCCTCTACATGCCTCTACATGCCTCTACATGCCCCCACATGCATCTACTGGCCCCTGCTGACCCCGGCTGACCACTGCTGACCACAGCTGACCTTTGTTGACATCTTCTGATATGATGTATATGTATTAAACCCTTGTATAATGTAAATCTATGGCAATAAATGTTATAATTTCAAAGAATTCTATGTCTTCTCGTCATTTTTACCTTCCTTTACCTCTCCAAAGCATTCCCATAGTTATAAGATACATGCCACCTCTTCCCATATCATGTCCTCCTAATAACAAAGTCTAAAATGAACCTAAAACCGCCACCGCCATACCTACCGTCGATAAACGATACTTATTAATTTATTCGCTCGAAAAATTTCTAAGTTCCTCGAAAAGATTTGAGGGGGGCCCCTTTAAAAAGTCCTGAAACAGCTGGGAAGTCCTGAAACAGCTGGGAAGCCCCGAAACAGCTGGAAAGTCCTGAAACAGCTGGAAAGTCCTGAAACAATTCTTGGGAACCCTGAATTTTTAGCAAAGTTCTGAGTTTCAGGGCTTTCCAGCGGTTTCAGGACTTTTCAGCTGTTTCAGGGATTTCCAGTTGTTTCAGGGCTTTCCAGCTGTTTCAGGACTTTCCAAATTGTTTCAGGGAGTCTTATAACTAAGGCAATGATTTGGAGAGGAAAAGAAAGGTAAAAAATGATGAGAACACATAGAATTCTTTGTAATTATATCATTTATTGCCATAGATTTACATTATACAAGGTTTAATACATATACATCATATCAGAAGTTGTCAACAAAGGTCAGCAATGGTCAGCCGGGGTCAGCAGGGGCCAGTAGATGCATGTGGAGGCATGTAGAGGCATGTAGAGGCATGTAAAGGCATGTAGATGCATGTAGAGGCATGTAGAGACCAGCGGGAGCAAGCAGTAACACATAGTAATCGTTATACGTTGTGGGAAGTATCAGGAGTGGTCAGCAGCGGTCAGCAGGGGCCAGCAGGGGCCAGCAGAGACCAGCAGAGGGATCTAGAGGCATCTAGATGCATGTAGAGGCATGTAGAGACCAGCAGGAGCAAGCAGTAACACATAGTAATCGTTATACGTTGTCGGAAATATCAGGAGTGGTCAGCAGCGGTCAGCAGGGGCCAGCAGAGGCCAGCAGAAGGATGTAGAGGCATCTAGATGCATGTAGAGGCATGTAGAGACCAGCAGGAGCAAGCAGGAACACGTAGTAATCGTTATACCTTGTCAGAAGTATCAGGAGTGGTCAGCAGCGGTCAGCAGGGGCCAGCAGAGGCCAGCAGAGGGATGTAGAGGCATCTAGATGCATGTATAGGCATGTAGAGACCAGCAGGAGCAACCAGGAACACGTAGTAATCGTTATACCTTGTCAGAAGTATCAGGAGTGGTCAGCAGCGGCCAGCAGAGGCGAGCGGAGGCAGGCAGAGGCCAGCAGAGGCCAAAATATGCTAGCAGAGGCATGTAGAGGCATGTAGAGACCAGCAGGAGCAAGCAGTAACACACAGTAATCGTTATACGTTGTCGGAAGTATCAGGAGTGGTCAGCAGAGGGATGTAGAGGCATGTAGAGACCAGCAGGAGCAAGCAGTAACACATAGTAATCGTTATACGTTGTCGAAAGTATCAGGAGTGGTCAGCAGCGGTCAGCAGGGGCCAGCAGAGGCCAGCAGAGGGATGTAGAGGCATGTAGATGCATGTAGAGGCATGTAGAGACCAGTAGGAGCAAGCAATAGCAAGTTGTAATCGTTATACGTTGTCAGAAGTATAAGGAATGGTCAGCAGGGGTCAGCAGAGGCCGGCGGAGGACTGTAGGAAAATTCAAAAGTACATGTAGTCGCTTATACTTATACTTCAGGTAAAAAGTGGTATAGTAAAGTAAAAAATACCTGGGCAGTCGAGACTTGGAATCGTATGCCGTTGACGTGAGGGCGAACGTCAGTTGTTCAAGAGCGCGTAGGCAAATGTGAGCCTTCCTCTCTCGAGTCCCACGAGACGGTCCGAAATTACTTCGGGCAGCTTTGGAGGATCGAGAAAAAGAGCATGTGTCAGTTCGCCTTTGTCGACTTTCCGAAACTCCCCGAACTCACGTACGCGTGATCTGGCATGCGTGAGTGGTGCACTCGATGCTGAATCTGGCATCACTGATGCTGACCAGACAAAGTAATAAAATGCGTTAGATGCTGGGATATGGCACTTATTTTTTAATTCAGCGATATTAATGACATTTCTGGATTTATTCAAGTCTGATCTATAGTGGAGATAGTAGAAATTCATGTGTCCAAAAACGATTAGCATATGTCACGTTCAAAGTGCATAAGCATGTCTAGTCGAGCTGCATTATGAGTCATGCTTGTACCGATATCATACGCAATTTAAGAGGTTACCAATTGCTGTATACATAATCGGGAGCTACTCGAACGCGTACATGTTAATAAATAAAAATTTACTAGAATCGAAACTAAGAAAAATTTCAGAGCATTTTGAATGTTCCTTTTAAGTTTATCCTTAGACTTATGTCGAAGTATTCATTTATCTGTACAATACAGGATTCTCAATACTGATTTTCAATGCTTAAGAATGTGTTTTGATTATTATAAAAAGGATCTACGAGCTCCGTCAGTGAAAATGGATCTATGGAAGAGAAGATAAGAACTATAGTCATATTCCCCTCGAATGGAACAAATTAAGCTTTCAACCGTAACCGTATTCCCCTCGAACGGCACGAATTAATGTCTCTGGTTGCGTACACACGACTCTGCACGATTGGCTGATATTTCCCTCGAGCTGCGGGGCTCGGATCGTTCACGTTCTATATTACGATGTTTCCCGATTTTAAATCGACTTTCTAGATAGCATTTCCTTTCAGGCAAATCGTAAATGCATTCCGTATGCAACCTGTGCGACAATAGTTTGTAAATATCGAGGGAAGCCCGACCGATCCTCTCGTTCGCGTGAAGCCAAGTCGACGGAATTTTCTGTTTTAAGTCGCCTGTGCTCGTGTTAACAACAGCCGACGTGCAACATCGCTACCCACCGCGATGAATGACTGAATTACATATTTATCGGGTGAAAAAAAATACGCGAAACTGACGAAGCTTTCGTGTTCTCTGTACTTGTTTCTAACAATCAGCTGACTTCCGGAACTAATACGGAAGAAGATGTTAGTGAGGCCTTTCGTTCGTTTCGTTTGACACAACAGCATTTTCGTAGGCGAATAAAGAATTTCCTATCTCTCGTTAAACCTAACAAATCGAAGACTCGTATAAGCGTAAACTAATGTTAAACTCCGCCTAATCGTGAAACTGTTGGAAAATAATTTTAAGGTAAGAAGTCCACCAATACATTTTTACGATACACAAATTTTGTTGGACGATCGTGCTTGTTTACTTTGTACAAGATTTTATACAGTTTCGATCGAAACGATAACGCCAACACGGAAAAATAAACGTACAACTGATTTCTTTTTCAACAGACAAATCACCACTCTCTTAAAGATAATATGAATTCTCAAGAAAGTACAAGCAATAATCAGAATAAAGGAGAAACAAGAGTGGACGAGAACTTGAAAAAGAACAGCAGCCAGCCGATCGAACAGTCGTCCAAATTGTCCAAAGTTGCGCAGCTAGAAAGCAAACTATGCGGAGATCAACTGAAGTTGAACAATAAGCTGGGAGAGAACAGTGCCAAGAACATTTTATCTTCTAAAACTCTTGTCCCGCTGGCTAATGGTATAAAAACCGCGCAAGTTGCCACGTCCAGTTTTCACAATTCTATAGACCAAGATACAAACCAAGAGAGGTTAAACGCCAGCGTATCTTCCATATTTTGCATAAGCGCTTTGAATCTGCCTAAGCCTCAGATGCATTTAAATGTATCTTCCAGTCAAACGAACACGCATTTGAACCATGCTTGTACATCTGTCTCCTATAACGACGGCGCCACGTCGAATCCTATTTTACATTTAAACAATTCGGCATCGGTGTCCAAGATACAACCAAGCTTGTTGGTGCTTAGACCGAACGAGGATATCGATATGAAAAATAATGTAGACTATATATCTGGAATTGAGAAATGCCCATCGAAGGTGTCGTGCAGTTCGGACTCTAGCCCTGAGGTGGACGGAGCCTGGGCATCGAGATCCTACAGATCTACATGTGTACTGAATAATATAGGAGGTAGCATCGGCTCTACGAGTCAGGGAACTTGTTGTTTCTTGAGACCTAATATTAATGGAAACAGGGAAGTAGCAGGACCAAGCGGATTGCAGAAGGTACGTTAAGTTAACGAACGTTTCCAAGTGGATAGTACATCGTGTTTGTTTCCTTTCGCTGCAGAGTATACAAAGAGAGAGCGAGAGAAGGGATTCAAGTTCAGAGAATGAGGGTGACGTGTCGGATGGCGAAGATTATTGTATTTACACATACAAAGGAAACAACGACGCGGTCCACTTGGCTCAAAAGAAGGAAGTGCGTCAGGAGCAGGCGGAGGAACGCGAGGAAGAAGGACAATATCATAGCGGCAGATCGAGTCCGGAGATGGACTTCTTGGAGATGGACTTCGATCCCGGGCCTTCTTGTGAGCAGGTATTGAATTATTGTGACGAAAGTGAAACATCATTTTTTTTACAGTGATTTGTTTCTGTACAGGATACGGGTGACAGCGACGTGGCCTCAATAAACGAAGACATACAAAATATAGCGTTAGATAGTGTAGATCCAGACCCAGTATTAAACGACTTAAGTAGTGGTAAAGTTGTATCACGGCAGGGGATCGCGACGATGCCGCAACACCCGAAACAAAGCGTCCAAAATGTAAATCACGCGGCAGTTCAGCCGTGTTCTAGCAGCCGATCCGTACCGGAGCCAAGCATAAAGCCAAGTTATCCATCGTCGTGGCTGCCAAGCACCAGCGGTGGAACTGGTGCGTTGATAAAGTAGATTTGGTTCATTTCAAATGTATATTTAATGGTACACTTTGCAGGGAAATGGGAAACCGCAAGACTGTATCGTAGCACAGGGTGTCCATTGCGAGAATCGTACAGGTATCACGACACGAGCGGAGATCTTATATCGCCTGGTGACAATAGAGACACGGATTCAGAGTCATGGTCCGAGTCGTCGGCAGCCTCCGTCTCGGAGAACTCGGGTCTAAATTCCAGAAGAGTTAATCTCCACTCGACTCTGTACCACCTAGTCATGGCTAAAAAATTGGTGCTCAACAAGCAAGCTGCGTTTAATCAGAGCGGCGACTCGAATCTAGTTAGTACATTTTATTGATAAGATTCTAGAGTTCGTACAGGCTGGATAAAATTGTTGTGGTTACAGGAAAACGAATTGTGCAATGAACGATTAGATGGGCTTTTACCGGTTGAAAAAGTTATGTTGTGGAGCGAGCAGGAAGCTACGGAGAAACAGGTGACGCAGATTGGAACCTCCGCGTGCGGTGCTACTTCCGCGATAAACGCTTTGGTAGGTGTATCGGTGGAAGGTTCTTTGGAACGTAGGGATAGTTTTTATTGAACGATGATTATTCTTTAGTTGGCTTTGAACGTGTCATTTTCATTGGAAACGTTAGTGAAGGGTGTAAATACCAGGTTAAGGGAGCCGGGTACACCGTTACCGCGGTATTTGTTGAGCCGATCTGTGGCTGGATCGACGCACAAAGATCTGGCACGTGGTATAGATCTGTCCACGAACGGCTCGGTTATAACGAAATTTTTCGCATTTTACCCGGAAAGAAAAGTGTCCCTGTCTCACTGGTTACATTATTGGATATCGAAAGGTATGGCGTCCAATGAAACACAGACATTTCCCACGACTGTATCGTCGAATTTTGTTCAGGTGCCGCGCCTATAGCAACGTTAAATTTACAACATTGTGGGGAGGGGTACCATTTATCGGATGCATGGCACCATCAAATGATATTTGGCGTAGGACAAGCGGGAATATATTTAACCAATCCATTAGAATGTTTATCGGAACAGGTTAGTTCTGATCGTTTTGTATTATTTAAACGATGTCTGGCGTCGCCTCCCACAAGCACTCGATCGACTCCTCGGTTACTATACAGGATGTGTGGCTAACCCTGGAAAAAATTCGATTGGGGGATTCTAGAGGCCAAAATAAGACGAAAATCAAGAATACCAATTTCTCGATTGAGGCTTCGTTAAAAAGTTATTAACGTTTAAAGCTCCGTGCACGCAGCGCGCGCGGTTCCTGTCTCACAAACGCAACTTTAAACGTTAATAACTTTTTAACAGAGCCTCAATCAACAAATTAGTATTCTTCATTTTCGTCTTATTTTGGCCTCTAGAATCCCCCATTACAATTTTTCCCAGGATTGGCCTAACACCCTCTATATACACTCCTCGACCGACTTCCTAATATCCCAGTCGTCCAAGGCAGAGTCTGGAAAGCCTTATCGATGAGTCCACTAACAGGTCCCCACCTTTTCTTTTCACGCCTCCTACGATTTTGGCGAGTTCCACGCCGCCAGCGACGCAGCGCCCCACAGACGTATTAATTTTTCTCAATTTTAGTACGTTTGGCATCAACTTGTGAGCCCTAGTATTTTGCTAGTACGAAGAGCAGATGTTTTAGCTCATTGGAACGCTAACACGGATCTAACACCTCTCGCTACTATGGACAAAACGTGGCAGAAGCTCAACGTTCTCGGTACGTTTAACCTATCTTCGGCGATTATGTGCAATCGATACATGTTACTCGTTACCTTATTCTTTTAATCAGGGCAAGTTGTAAATATGATACGCGATGCCATGACTGAGGGACGACAGCTTAGTGCCAACGCTGGTAGAACTCACATTCGTATTCCTGCGTCTTACCAAGCAGGCATTACATTAGTTATGTGTGCAGATTCCGCTGCTGCTTCCGAATTGTTACACGCTGAACAATTACCATTACTCTAGTCTTGTTAATCAAAATTAATAAAAATCCAGGCTGCCCCCCCCCCTTTATTTGTAATAAATTTAATTAGCAGGCTGGTCCGCACAATGTTGTTTAAAATGATTCATTTATTATATAAGGCAGTTTAGCGATCAGAATTGAAATAATTTACATTTCTAACACAAAAAAAAAAAGAAGTATGTTTATATTCAAAGAGAATATTACCAATTGAAATATATTTCAATAAAATATTTCCGTTTTATATGAAGTTATATTTATAAATTCGTATATCGAAGCGAAATAAATTGCATATTCTCTTTTTTCAATGACAAATTTAATGATTGTAGCTTATAGAAAAATATCATTTTTTACGTACGATATGGAAATTTTATTATTCTTAGACATAGTAAAAAGGTAAGTGTTTCATTTTGATATTTAAGTACCATTCTCTCGCGAGAAGATGCCATAGCCTGTTTACATCCTCTGATTGGCTGTCACCGATCTACTTCATTGTTCTCGACCAATGCCTGTGTGTCAGAAAGATCTGTGACAGCCAATCAGCGGACTCCAACAAGAGTGGGGATCTAAACACGCTGTGCCTTCTCGAAAGATGGGTTTCCCGGTTTCGGGATATTTTCTAAGAGCATTTCAAGTTACAAAGTACAGCAAAAGATCGTTTTAACGACTTTAAATAGAACTTAACGATGCATTTGATAAAAACTTTAGTACAGAATATTTTATTACAGTTTTATGTTACTTTATGTTGGAATTAAACGTGTTCACCGCAGTTTGTTGTGCAAAGCACTGTAATGTGCAATAGTATCGACACAAATATTGAATTTATGTACATACATGTATAATCTACCGTTCGTTAAACTTTCCATGCTCTCTCGGAGAGTTCATTTCCAATTAAGACATACTGAAACAGACAAACGAACATTAGTTAACTTGCGAACGATACGTTTATACCCTAACCTTAACGATATGCTCACCTTTCTATAAGCGACGCGCGCATAGTCGATGTTATGGCAGTTGAAGTAACTTCGTTAAGTTTGAAGACACTTTCGATAACCGAAAGTTCTATCGAGGTTGTATCCATACCGCAAAAGGACACCCAATCGTTCACCACCATACCTGCAGCCACAACATCGCTGCCTCTGTTCACTGTTCCAGCCTATAAAATATTTCGATACAATAATAAATATTTCTTGGTTCGTTATGTTAGTAAAATTCTCTTACAGCAAGCGGCACTTGTAACAAAGAGGACAGCTCATCCTGATCTTGTATAGAAGTTTTTGGATGCACCAAACCACCGTGATTTGAGAGTACGGAATACGAGCCTACGAGAACGTTGCTGGCCACAGTTTGCCTGAAAACTTCCACGCTCAGAGTATCCGCTAAGATTTCTTCCGTCTCCTATGGTGGACGGAAAGTACAAGTATTAATGAAAAATTGCAAACATCGTTGGAATCGAATACTTGCCCTGTCCAGATCAGGATGCACCAGAGCCACGTAGTCGTTACATGCGATTACATTACCGAGAGCCGAAAGTCTCTCCTCGACTCTTTGTATTTTTACGCTATCTGGTAACGAGTTTCTTATATGCTGCAATTCCGTATCCGTCGTTGTGTTCGGGACCAACAGACCATTTTTGTTTCCTGTTTAAATGTTTTCTGTGTAAAATGCATTTCAGGTTAAAATTCTACTGTAACACTTACCAACGCACAATCGACCAATGATACGGCATCCAGCAACCGACGCATGAATTACAGGAATGGTCTCAGCTAATTCTGCCTCAAATACGCTGCAATTAACGACAATATCAGCCACGTTAAAAAGAAGCGTCGCTATTAAGTGTTATGTCAACGCTGGTTATAGGTTATAAAATTCCAAGCCGCTTGCGAAATATATTGCAATATCAAATGCAATATCAAACAAAGTTATTACTAAAGTGATTAAAGATAGAAGGGATAATCTTATCTACCGTTACCTGTAGAAATTCTCGGATCCGCCTATTGCTACCAGGCAATAAGAATTCGTTAGTTTCGAGAATACGCCAATTTCGTTGTTATTCTCGAACTGTACGCGTACCGCCATGATTGCGAATATATCAATTTACATTAGAGTGCAAGAATTTGGTAAGAATTTTGAAAATCGACGCCACGAACGATGGTCGGTAATTAAAATACACAAACTAACCTACACACTGTACACGTACTTCCCCTTTACTCCCAAACACGAGGTTAGATTGCGATATATTGCTCAATCAAAACGCAGAGGGAGGACTGTACCGCCATTTACGAGGCGCACTCTGGCGAGCCAATGAATCTAGGGGAATCACCGCGGACCAATGACAACGTTTTTTAATGCTGGGTGCATCTTCTCTGAATGGACATCAGCGTAAACATTAATTTGAGATTATGTACTCTGGTATATTAACTAGGATAGTGAATAGGTTTGTTAAATAGGATAATTAAATATATTTATCGATTGTATATTTTTGACAAGCCATCTAGCGATGGGGAAGAGGAGTTTCTCGACAAGCTTGGACGTTCTGCCGTAGATAGCGCCACAATCTTTCGTCCTATTTTTTAGTAGAATTATCGACGCGCCATCTAGCTACGACCTAAAGGTACTATTGTTCCCGACAAGCTTGGACGTTCTGACGTAGATGACATTACAATTTTAATTATTAATTATATTAATTATGGGGCTCCTTGTGGCCTTCCCATGGGGTTTCCTGGGGTCTATGAACCACAGATCCGTGGGGAAACTATAGTATCTAGCCACCACATGTATAAAATAGGAGAACTGTGGGATTCCAAGGCGTATGGGGTAAATGAAAAGTACATTGCTCGCGATAGAGTAGCCCAATAACAATTCGTATTAATTTTATAAATCTTTAATCTCGTTTATTTACAAAAAAAAGGATACAAAGTACTTTAAAACGGATAAAGGAATCGCCTGACGGTATGCACGACGAATAAGCGCAGCAGTTAGCATACGTTCCGGGGTCATTTTAGTTGATAGACGCCACCGCTAGATAGCCATCGTGTCTCACAAACGTAAAACCGACACCGGAATTCGAATACCAGAGGCGTTTTAACCGCTTGGTATCTCGAGAACGAATAGCCTCGTGATCGCAAAACGACTAGAATTAGTTTCGCGTTGATATCAATAAAACCCAGTAGATGTTGAAAATCACCGCTTTATTAACAACATTACCGTAAAGCGTTATAAATACGATTCGTATAGTTCTCGTTTTGATTGGTTCTGACGTCGTACAGAGCATCATTTTTTTTTTTAATCGGAACATACTGGCAGTATTATCTTGCGCGACAAAAATTAATCCTCACTAATGGAATCTAGACGATTAACATTTTGGCGACCTGGTCGCGTGTTCCTCCGGGGTTCAAAGGGTCCATCGACCTTTGCGTCCCGCCGGTTCTTGTGCGTTCGAGCGACAATCTTCGTCTGTCACGCGACGAAAAAAGGGACAAGAAGGGGGGGGGGGTGGGCGGGGGGAGAATATTACAAAGAAACCGCCTTCGCAGCGAATCGTAACGAACGAAGGGAGAGCGAATTACTGGGGTGGGTTGATCTCCTTGTTTTTGATTGTGTGCCACTGGTTCAGTCTCGTCGATCCTAATCGATTCACTCCATTTTCTCCCTTCCCTCTTTTATCGTCCTCCTTTTCCACCCCTACGTCGTGTGCGAGTGTGCGTGTGTACATCGATATAAAATAGAAACATTAAAATCTTCAGTTGTTCGAGCTCGGCTTGAACGTCGTGTACTGTGGCGGCTTCTCGATCTTGCAGTGGGGCTTCAGTGTCGCTAAACGATCTGGTTTGAGAAACAGCTGCTCCCCCTGCACAATTTTCATCTCAAGAGGGTCACACGGTTCGTTCGATGCACGTCGATCCGGCAATAAATCTCTACGAACACTACGGGGGGTAAATTGCGGGGGACGCGCGAACCGAGGTCGAGGAAAACTCGTTTGGCGACTACGGACCCCCACCATTGGCGTCCACGGTGACCTTGAACGGCCAAACGAGTGTGACTCGACCGTAGGTTACGCGCTTGCGCAGTTCCATACGTGAAACGAACCGATTAAACAGGACCGTTTTACTGACGACTTTATTCCCTCGAAACATGGACAATTGGAGGCGCGAAATAATTAAATATGGCAATGTTAAACGATCTGGAACGGGGAACAAACTGAATGTAATTTCATTTTTATGTTTTAATGCGATGTATACTTTTTGTGAATGGAAAATTCACTATTTTAATTGCACTATTTGAGGCAAATTTTTGAATTTAGTAAGTCAAAAGTTACACTTTTAGGTTAACCAAATTAAAAATCACATATTTCTTATTTTATAATTTTACTACCACGTTACTCTACGCCATTGGAAATGGGACGATTCATTTTTTCTACAGCATATACATCCAATATTCGTAGCCTTTTTGTAAATGACAAATTTACAATTTTAATTGCACTATTCTATGCAAATTATTGAATTTAACAATTAAAGAGTAACATTTTAAAATTAACCAAACTAAAATCAAATATTTTACTACCACTTTGCTGTAGACTGCGCCATTGGAAATGGGTACATTAAGCTTTTCTCCAGCATATACACATCCAATATTACTAAATCGACAGTAAAAATCGCAATCCACTTTTAAACGGGGAAACTCGATAATTTTGATTGGACTATTCGACGCATAAAAACGGGTAAAATTACGCTCAGTTTGTTTTCCCGCCATCGTTCGATGCCGTTTAATTTTACCTCGACGGATTTTTCCTCCTTCCACCGCGGCCTGTAAATCGAAATCGCGGACAATTTGCACAACTTCGATTCAGTATTTTCGAAACGAAATATCCCGTTGCATATTTACAAATACTCTGCAAACACGCTCGCGCGCGTTAATATTGTCGATATCGAAAATAACGTTGCGGCGTACAGCGCAAACAAACGTTTAAGCCTGGGGCACGATCGAAGGGAAACGCAACGATGGGATTTATAGTTCGATTCAAAATTCTTTTTCTAGTTTTTTTTTTCTAGGGGAATAATAGTCTTTTCTGCAAAAAACGGTCCTGGATAAGTTCTAGAAAGCTGAGTGAAACGGGGAGGCTGGGATACTGAAGCAGACTTTTGTGCCAACTTTTGTGCAAGTTTCTCGAAGCAGGGGTTCTCAACTCCAGCTACGAAATAATTTTAACTCCGCAAAATTCGCTTCAGGGATTCAGGCAATATTTTTGTTAAAATTAAATTTATGGAGTGTTTGAGAACCCCTGCTTTGGGAACGTTTCAGGGTAAATCGTGTTCGGTCACGACATGCTCGCTAACGCGACAATTTCCAGTGCACAGGGGATGTTAACGGGGTTCTGATAACAAACGGGAACGCACACGCAATCAGTATGATCATCTTTTAATGACAACATCGTACACGGAAGAGTGCTCCAAGTTCGAACTGTTTCCATACATCGTACAGCGTCGTGTCGCGCTGGTTGCTCGATCACAGGCGCCTCGGAGCTCACCGACGTCGACGACGATGGTCTCGAGCAGGGTTACCAGATTTTTAAAATTTATACGGAAGCACGTGACCAACGAGAGGCCATTGTCATCGACAGAAGAGATACACAAAATTTCAATCACCCTTCGGGAGAGTCACTATTGACCAGGGGTCCAGACCCACCAATTTTGATTCTATCAGGCTCAAAAAATTTCAGAATCTTACTCAAACATAGACTAATGAACCCTGTAAATTTGAACACAAATGGTGCTATAGTTCTTTTGTAAAAAATTCCCAAAGTTAAGGATGCATTGCATACTATGATGGTATGTGAAAATTTTCAAGGATCCAGGGCCACCAATTTTGATTCTATCTGGCTCAAAAAATTTGAGAATCTTACTCAAACATAGACTAATGAACCCTGTAAATTTGAACACAAATGGTGTTATAGTTCTTTTGTAAAAAATTCCCAAAGTTAAGGATGCATTTTGTAGTATAATGGTATGTGAAAATTTTCAGAGGTCCGGACCCACTAATTTTGATTCTATTTGGCTCAAAAAATTTCAGAATCTTACTCAAACATAGACTAATAAACTCTGTAAATTTGAACACAAACGGTGTTATACTTTCCTTGTAAAAAATTCCCAAATTTTTGGATGCATTTCATACTATGATGGTATATGAAAATTTTCAAGGGTCCAGAGCCAACAATTTTGATTCTATCTGACTCAAAAAATGTCAGAATCTTACTCAAACATAGACTAATGAACCCTGTAAATTTGAACACAAACGGTGTTATACTTTCCTTGTAAAAAATTCCTAAAATGGATGCATATCCTCCTATAATGGAATACTAAAATTGTGATAGAGTGGGTGATTGCATTAAAAAATAATTGAGTGTACATATCAAAGTTACAAATAAAAGAAACTTTAAAAAATGCTTTTGTACCTTCATTTCGAAATGGATCCCCACAATTGTGTACAAAACTTAATCTAACAATTTTGAAAATTTGTTCATTCTACGTATCGCTAATTGTCAAATGCGATTTGACATTTTGGAAAGCGTCGATGCAACAAGATTTGTATTACGAAACGCGGTAGGAATTTTAATTGATTTTAACCCGGAAGTTAGGAGAGTTTAGCGAGTTCTGGGACGTCTGGTAACCCTAAGCCCTGGTCTCGAGATGGGTACGAGCGACTAATTAATCGTTACAATAATCCAGTTAGCGGTAACAATGCTGTGTCGCGATCGGATTGAGTGCAAAAGTGACGGAGAAAGAGAGAGACAGAGAGAAAGAGAGAGAGATAGAGAGTGAAAGAGGAAACTACACGTATATCTCGACGGAGGACATAACTTACGCGAGCGCAAAATGTAATTTCAGCATGCACGCGATTCGTACGCGTCCCGTGAAACGAATTCGTAACGATCGTCGACCAACGATCGCTGCCGTTAAACGCAACCAACGGAAATTCCCTTGAACGATTAAATCGTTTACGGTTCGCTAACGAGCGTGCACGTTATGCCTCTCGGTGTATCGATTTAAGTAAATAGATGCATGTATGCCTTTAGGTATCGAGGTTCGGCGTACGGGCGAGTGTATATACAGCAGGCATACTTAAGGGGTTAGTCGAGCCTCAAAACATTCCAAAAAGTAAAAGAAAACTGCTCCTTTCCCACGTTTTCACGAGACCCGGTTTACTGAAATGTCTCGTATTTCACTTATCCGGGGCGCAACGAATGAATACGCTCCCCTCGTTTTCACGAGACCCGCTTTACTGAAAAGTCTCGTATTTCACTTATCCGGGTGCAACGAATAAATACGCTCCCCTTGTTTCATCGCTGGTAAATGAATTTATATTTACAAATTTTTGGGAATTCTAGAAAACTAATTCGATTTTAATTCTATTTTTTAAACGATAAAATTTTGAGTCTCGACTGGCTTCTTAAATGTTTCTATCGAACCGTTCGAACATGTTAAACAATCGAGAGCGTAAATTTCGATTAATTAGCGTTACGTAACGCGGACGTCAATCCAATGGTATTCACGCAATCGGCCAGTGCCTCGATTATTGATACCAGTAAATCGATAATCGAATACACGGTGCTCTGTGCTCGCTAATTATACCGGCAGATGCCGTACGATTATTGTAACAACGAGATTCATTTTGACAATCAATTTATTTATAATTATACTCACAACCGTATATACAGCCGGTCGAAAAAGTCTCCGTACGGCCTCAATTTATTTACTTAACGTTGCATAATTTTAACAGAGAGCCCGGCAAACTCGTTTATAAAACGTCACGTTTAAACAAATAAAAGGGATTCATAAAATATTCCATACATTTTCGTGACTTTGTTAAACGAATAAAAATACAAAAAAAAAAAGAATTGTGTACGCAAGAACTGCACCGTATTAAATGGAGGGGGATTTGCAAATTAATTAAATCGAACAATAAAACGTAAATGAGATCAAAAAAGTCTCCCGGTGTATATGAATTTTAATAACCATATTTCTGTAATTAATTCTCCTTTTGAAATTTATTTTTATTAACGTTTTATTATAGTTTTTGTTTAATTTGGATGTCCGTAGCAATAACATAACCTATAAAACGAAAAGTAATTCTAAGACCGATCTACTTTACGAGGAACAGTTTTAAATCTACTGCCTCGTCTGTTTGCAGGCGACAAACTAACTCGAATATTGGCATAATTTCCCCGGGTCTTCGTTTGCAAACATTCTGCAGAATTCATGGACCGTGCACGGAGACTTTTTTGACCGTAGTTTTGCTAAGCTTTCGGTATTCGACGTTGAATTTGCTACAAACTTCGTTGCGTACATAACCTATACACGCTTCATCGACACTTACATAATTTAATCTATTACAATATTAAATTATACGAAGCCTTTTCCGACTGACTGTATACGTGTATAAACTTTTAAAGCTTCTTGGGCACCTCGATACACGATATACACTTAACAAAAAAAAAAAAAAATGTACTTAATGCAAGTCAGTCTTTAGTTTCAAATCCCCAGCGTAGGTGTAGCGGAAACGGTCCTGTTCGGATGCTATAACGGAACCGGAAGCTGTGATAAAGATGCAGGTCGTCCAAAACGAAACTCGTCACGCAATCACCCTCTCCTCCCATAACGCGAATATTTAATAATATAATAATGTTTTCAGGAGATTATAAAAGTACCAAATTATGAATACATATACTATATAAAAATATACTAGATAGATTAAAACAATCGATAACATTTTTCCAAAATTTCACATCTAGAATCCCTCCAAATAGAAAAATAGAAATTAAATTGAAATTAGTTGCAAGGAATATTTCAACACAAAATTAAAATTCATTTTGTTGATACTGCCATGAAAAAAAATTTAATTTAACTCCTATCATTTTGGGGGAACAATATAATATTTAACATACAGGGTTTAAAATTTTTCCCAGGGGTTTAAAAGATCTAAAACTCAGAATTTTAAATTAGCAATGTTAGAAGATTTTTGAGGTTATAATGCAGAGTTTTCAATGTGCAACAGTGTTCCAGAATTAAAATACATTTTTCTGAATATAATATTTAATATATATTGATGAAAGATGTCTCCAATTTTAAACTAGTAATGTTGGAAGATTTTTGAGGTTATAATTCAGAGTTTCCAGCAGTGCAACAGTGTCGTAAAAAACAGAATAGTCGAAACAGTTTTCATTGGCGATCTGGCAGCCTCGTTTTCATTTAAATGAGTTTGTTAGCGAACAAACTTCATGTTTCTAGGGGGAGGTGGGGGTGGGGGGCAACTGAAAATTCAAGACGTATCCATCAGCGTGAAATGCATCCTTTTCGCTGTTCAGTCTGGCGTGGAGTTACGGCTCGACGGATAATTGCCTCTTATTTCTTTGAGGATGCCAATGAAGCAACAGCGAGCGTTAATGCAGAACGATACAGATCAATGATCAAACAATTTTTGGGCACTGTAGATCCTCCAAGGACTCGGTTAGAGCAAGATGGAGTCACGCTGCTAATTAAATTAAAATCGAGAGACTCTTACTTGCAATTAAAATGCATGGGACCCAGTCAATATTCTGAATTTCATCCCCCTTTAATTTGAGTTTCTTAATTACTATTACATGTGTTTAAATAAACCATTGCACGATGGAAATCTGGTTTAATTTTCTCTGTAAATAATTGTCCACAAATACAATAAATCAATTGTTTCAACCTCTATGCAACTTGTGACGTTGACACTTTTAATTTGAGTTTCTTAACTATTATTATTGAGTTTCTTAATTATTATTACATGTATTTAAATAAACCATTGCACAATGGAAATCTGGTTTAATTTTCTCTGTAAATAATTGTCCACAAATACAATAAATCAATTGTTTCAACCTCTATGCAATTTGTGACTTTATTGACCCTTTTGATCTGAGTTTCTTAACCATTATTATTGAGTATTTTAATTATTATTACATGTGTTTATATAAACCATTGCACAATGGAAAACTGGTATAATTTTCTCTGTAACTAATTGTCCACAAGTACCATAAATAATGTAGAAAATCAATTGTTCTAACCTCCATGTAATTTGTGACTTTATTGACCCTTTTGATCTGAGTTTCTTAACTATTATTATTGAGTATTTTAATTATTATTACATGTATTTAAATAAACCATTGCAAAATGTAAACCTGGTTTAATTTTCTCTGCAAATAACTGTCTACAAATACCATAAATAAAGTGGAAAATCAATTGTTTTAACCTCTATGTAATTTGTGACTTTATTGACCCTTTTTATCTGAGTTTCTTTACTATTATTATTGAGTTTTTAAGTTATTATTACATGTATTTAAATAAACCATTGCAAAATGTAAACCTGGTTTAATTTTCTCTGCAAATAACTGTCTACAAATACAATAAATGAAATGGAAACTAAGTTGTTTCACCCCCCATGCAATTTATGACCTTGTTGACCCTTTTAATCTGAGTTTCTTATTATTATATGATGAATTTCTGAATTATTATTACATGTATTTAAATAACCCATTGCAAAATGGCAACCTGACTCAATTTTCTGCCCAAAACAATAGTCTACAAACATGATAAACAGAACAAAAAATAAAGTTATCGATTGTTTCAATTTGTGACCTTGTTGACAGTAAAAATTTTGTTTTCTCTACAGGGTGTCTCGCGAAATAAATACAAAATAATTTCCAAAAAATTTTTACGCTCTTCCCCCGGGAGTTAAGCCGCATTAATTATTGCATAATGAACACTTTTGCGTCGCGATCGGGCTCCACGGGACACCGTGCGGGGGTGAGAGCATACGTAGCCCAATACGTTCGATCGTTTGTCGTTAATTAATGCGGAACGGTGTACGGTTCGGTTGCCCCGGAAGATCGTAATCGCGTTATGGGAGAAGCGGCTGTATCCGCTACTTACGTACACGTACCTAAATTAAATTACCTACAAGGAGATTGCGGGTAATTGGGAAAGGGACACCGACGGGGGAGTAGATGCAACCAAATGCATGCGTAATGCACCCTACCCGACCGCATAAATCATTCAAATGACTATCTCGATCGGGGCGGAGGCAGAAGGTTGTGGGAGGTCAGGGATTGGAGGTGGTCAATATTTGTGCGGGTCTATATTGTCGTCGTGACGTTATTGCACCTAGTATTGCCATAATCCGGGACTCTTAACACACACACATGCGAATTAACTAAAAAATAAGTCCCATATTATGGCTCTGCGACGAGACAACTTGGCAGCCATTACGGTGAACAATTCTAATACAATCTTTCTTATCAATCTCGTCGTTTAAAAATACATTTTCCTCATAATTAATTGGATATAATATAAATAAAAGGAACTGATATATGAGTGTGTTATTTCAATGCAAAATAGTACTCTCAAAGATGACAAACTGTGTTGTAGGTGGCGCTACGTCTGATTTAATAATTATATAAATAAGAAGCTCTGGTGAGACAAAATCTTTTGAACAAAATATACATATCAAGGAAGACTAAGATGTCTGACCCTTTGATTTGATCAAACTGTGTTGTAGGTGGCGCTACGTCTGATTTAATAATTATATAAATAAGAAGCTCTGGTGAGACAAAATCTTTTGATCAAAATATAAATATCAAAAAACACTAAGACCCTTTGATTTGACCAAACAATTGATAGAGACTGATTAAATAATAACCTAAACAATGAGCATCTGGTGAGTTGCACCAATAACCACAAAATCACAAAGATGGCGGACCAAGAACATCAGGACATTTATAGTACACCATATCTGAAAAATATGTAGGATATTAACTAAATTACTAAAAAATTGAATATTTAAATAAGAGTATACTACCTTTCATCTAAATTTTCTCACAAAATAGAACTGATCTTCGCCAAGCTGTCGCGTAGCAGACCGTGCTAGTATACTTTCTTCGTTTCAAGTTTTTAACAACAGGAGGGGGACTAAAAAGGCGACACGATCGGATCGAAAGCATGTAGAATTAAATCATCCCTGCTGCTCTTATTCAGGGGGATTATCTGCGTTCAAGTCGAGCACGTGCACTTGCGCCGGCTCTCTCGAATGCGCATTGAATACATACCAGAGCGATGCTTTCGTTACGAGACCACTTCTCGATAAGTGTGAATGGAGAGTCAAGGGGGGATGGGGAAGAGGAAGGAAGGAAACGCGAGGGGTGGCAAGTATCGAAGATCTCACGGGACCAAGGCTGGAGAATATTTATTTTTAATCCAAAATAAAATTTTATTTGCTCTTTGGGATCGAGAAAATATTTAATATGGTTCCCAGATTTCCCAGAATAAATTTTGTCACAAACTCGCAGGGGGATTCCCAAAAAATTTTTCCTCGCATTTCCAACGATTATAAAACCGTATATCAACGTTAAGCTCCTGTTTCCAATCCACCCTCTCTAAAATTCTTTTTAAAAAAATTTTGAGTAGTTTCCCCCACCCCTGGTCCGCATTTTAAAATTTCCAGCGATTCATGCGACTCGAGAGGCCATACCGGAGGGGGCAAAACACACTAATAAAATTAAAAAACGTTTTTGTACAAATGCAAGAACTATGCTAGACCCACAGAACTAAGTCTCATGCCGGAAGCTTTGATTCTCTCCAGTAAATATTTATAGGGTGTAACGGATGCTAGACTCTCGGAACTGTCCCGCTACGATCAACGATAAAACGCTAAAAATTCTGTCTCCTTCGAAGAGTCGCAAAAAACTTCCCTCTAAAGGGGGTTGGTTTCGAGGGTGAGGGGAGGATGGGGGGTAGAACATGCTCCGTAAATTCTATCGAACGAGATCACATCGCGACTGTGGGGGTTGGAGAGAGGGGGGGGTAAACCGAATCAACCGGAACGAAACGGAACGCTTGCTCCAATTCAACCCCTTTTGCGAGTAGTTTTTCGTTTGAACGAGGGGTCGGAGGGGGGTTGGTAACTCTCGAATGCCGTTTCTCGTGCCTCCGCCTAAAAATGTTTGCCTTGACGCGTGCAACCGAATAAAAATACACCGCGAGGCGGAAAGGGGATGGCCACCGTAAGAGAATTTTTAACTCGCTTTGGAGGGGGGGGACGATCGACGCGAAAATGGTCGAAAATAATTCTCGACGCGCGGAGGGGTCTAATGGAGAGCCTTCCGCGTCGCAAACGGAATATTCAAAACGCTGGCGTAGAATCTGGCCGTTGGACGAACAAAAAACGCGGGAAACTTTAACCCTTAAGTGGACCCTCGATCTCGACTGAATTATTTTGCTTGACGTTGATTCATGAATAATTGTTTTTGTACAGTCCCAATACAATAATCCACTTAAGGGTTCGGGGGAGATTGTGGATATAGGGGATGACGTGGAAAGGGTTGGGGATAAAATAATTCTGTGGGACGTCGCTCAACGACATCGTTCTTTTGATTTTTTTTTTTTTGTTGCTTCTTGTTTCTTTTTTTTTTTATCAACTTATCTGACCTGAAGGGTGTATTGTGGTCCGTGGGGTTGGCCATGGTGGTGGTGATGATGCCTCTGATAGTGTGGCTGCTGGTGAGGGGGTTCGTGCTGGTAACAGTCTTGTGGGTACTGCTGCGACGGGACGGGCTTCAGAACGTGATTCGGTCGCTTTTCGGAGGCGTACTGCTGGCTGGCGCGTTCCATAGTGTCCACGGCCAGACGCGGGTCCTCGATCATCGTGTTCGACGCTTTTGTGCTGCAACAGACCATCCTCAACGTCTCCAGTTCAACAGATTTTATTATCTGTATCAATTACTTATTGTAGCTAGTCATTTGTAACATTCAACCCCTTTATTTATGATGTAATTGTTATATTTTCTCACATGTGTACTATTTAATTCAAATAAAAGGAGGTTAATTGGTTTTGGTACCAATATGGCTGCCAACGAAGATGGACAAAGCTAACCTCACACTTTTCTGATTTTAATAATATTTTATAGGTTTATTATTTAATTCTATAGAGATATATTAACCCCTTAATGTGTGTTTCAATTACTTTCTCAAATATATACTAGTTAATTGAAACATAAAGAGTTGGTTCTCTAATACACCTTACCACAAGTATACAAATTGCAAATAAACAATAACACAGAAAATAGTACCTGAAACTTGGTTAATAATATCACAAGCAAAAATACACCAGCATAACATGTGAGGCACATACGCCATCTTGAGAACCAACATGGCTGCCAATGTGGCTTACCAATATGGCCGCCAGCTAAGAAGATGGACCAAGTTCTCAAACTTTCCTGACTTTTATGACATTTTACAGGGTTTATTTATTGTTTAATTTCGAATACTGATCTATTAACCCTTTGACATATGATAATAGAATATTTAGAAACGAAATTAAATAGTGCACATCTAAGAAAATAGTTAAATATTCTATCAACCCTCTGACTATTTTCTGAAGCGTTCACTGTTTAATTTCGTTTCCATTTGATCCTACATGCAATGCTCATCTCTTTTACGAATACCTTATGAACATATTAGAGTGTTCAAATAATATTCCTGTATCTTCTCGACAAAAAGCTCTCCGTGAAACTGGACCAAAAAGTCCGGAGCTTAACTGACTCAAAGTCTGTGTCGAACCCGGTTCGTAAAAGGCACCGACCGTAGAGAAAAGAGTGCGTAGAATAATTCATTATCGCTGGTGCTCGTTGTTCACGAGGGATTCGCGGACAGCTGGACGTCCCTGCGTCTCGAGCCCGCGGGTTTTTTCCAATGTAAATTACATCGACGTTCGTTCGCGCGAAATCAGCGTCGCGTGCTTACCAATGCACCTGCTGCAGCGCAGGCACCGTGTTCCTGACCACGCAGCATCTATCCGAACGTAGGAAACAAACGAATCCCATTACCAGGACCGAGAGCACCGTAAACCCAGCGACAGCTCCGATAACGAGTGGAATCTGTAACAAATACGGGTCGGCGAAAAAAAGCTTTTTCGTTGCACGAACCGAGGGAGAGAGAGGGAGAGAGGAGAGGGACTTCCCCGTGTGCACGCGCCCGGAATATTTATGCCTCACGGCCGTTTTAATTAAATATCGGGGCAGGGTCTGTCCTCGATTATTTAATTGGGACACTCTGTGTGTGTGTGTGTTCGCCAAGAGCACCACCCCCTCACCCAGAGAGAGAGAGGTGGTCGCTTGTAACACTGAATATTGGAAACGAATGGTTATCGGGACGATTATCGATATAATTTATTACCTGGCCCGGCTCGTCGACTCTCAACATCAACGCACGACGATCGCTGCCACGATCGTTCTCCACGATCACGTGGTACAGCCTCTGGTCCTCCTTCACGGTGTTGATCAGCTCCAAAATGGCCACGTAACAATCCTCCACCGGAAGTGGCTCCAGATCCAACGCTCGGTACCGCGACTCCAGCATCTCACCTGCGAATAGACAGTCAATTGAGGATGGGGGGTTTTTGGGAGGATTTTTCTGGAGGATCGTCTGGGCCAGACACTTCCAAAATTGGGAGGCTATTCACAGTGGGGGGATTATTTAATTTCCCCCCCTTTTGTGTAGTATTTTAATTCAAGTATGTCAATTTAATTGTATGTGGCTTAATTATGTAGCTTTTGTACCTATTGTAACTATTGTTAATAATTTTTTGTTTGTGAAGCAGGGGAGAGTTTTTATTACACTGTGTACTACTTCTATTTATTAGTAGTTTTTTCTTTACTTTTCTATTTATTAGTAGTTTCTTCTTTACTTCTTATTCTATTAAAGTAGTTGTGTTTTTTATCTTTTTTTTAATATTAACAGGCTAACAAATTGTTTATAATTACAGAATCGATATAGAAATGTAACTATAAACAGTATCCAACGAAAAAAAACCCCAAATAATGATTCTGTGAGAGCTTTTTTCCGGGGGAGCGGTGGTCACCCATCCCAAAGGTGACCCGCGCCCAATGCAGCTGAACGTCGACGATCGTACCGGGAGCCACCGTGTCCAACATCTCACACCACCTACAAGTTCTATTTGTAATTTATTTATACATAAACTCTCACATATCTCAATGTACGAAGAAATGAACAAGTTTTTTTCCATTTAATCACAATTGTATTAACCTGTATATATTAATAAAGAAGTTTAACACTGAAAGTATATTTTTCTCTAAGACTCCTGCATCACATCCCCCAATATAGTGCATTTCCCTAGGTCATGTGCCTTCCAAAAATGTCAGAAACCTCTGCTCCAGAGCAAGATCCAAAGGGACCAAAAAAAAACAGAATCGAAATTAAACAATTAAACGTGTCTCTCGAGATGCTGGAGGGCACTAAGAGTATCGAAGCTTCTTGTTTCCGGTTTCTGGTGCTACAAACTGAACCGTGAGGTCCACGACGAAGACGTTGTGCATCGAGAGGCCTCCCTGGGGGGTGGGGATCGAACGCGTCCTCCTCGAGGATCGAAAGGTTCCGGAGATTCGTTTGGAGGACTATGCGGGAGAAAAGGGGCGGGTAATTAATGGGGGAACTCGCGTCCAAAGGGATGCTCGAATTAATTAATCGCGAGGGCGCACCACTTTTCAGTGATAAGGAGTGCCAATTAGTGGAGAAGAGACGTACGTAAAAAAAAATACTGAAAGGGCAAACCAAAGACTCGAATACTTTTGGCTAGGAAGCAGTCTAACCGGCGTGGAGTCTGGTGCTGCCCCATTCCCAGGCCACGAGTCTGGGCTTCGGGTCGGAGCAGAGTCGGATCTCTAATTTCGCTGGACTCCCTTCCGTAGTTGCGACGACGAACTTCTCCGTGATGCCAGGCTTCACCACCTACGACACACGGTCCAAACCAGCCCCTTTCAATCGGTCATTCGTCTACAAACGTTCTAAGACTACGCGTGTTTCCTGTCGCTTTCTCCTCAATAACAGTGAAATGACGCATGAATTTTTTGCAAAGAAACTATAAAACCTTTTGCAGCCAAATTTGCAGGGTTTATTTATAGATAGTTTACCAATGTGTATGAATTTTTTCAGCGAGAAAGAGTTAAAATTGACGCCACCTGCGGGGCCTCAAATATGGTCAAATATGGCCAAACATTGAAAAAGGGGATTCCGCTCTCCCCACGATTCTGACCATTCTGTTTGTTCGAAATAAAAAAACTCGAAGGATTCTTAATTAGTATGAGTTTGACTATAGCAGGAAGCAGAATAAAATAAAAAGGTCAATGATTAAAAAAATGACAACGCTTTGAAGTCAGAGCATCTATCTTTTCATGCTTTCTTTTAACATTGGAGGCCCTGAAAAAGAATAGAAAAAATAATAATATCGAGTCGATTTTGATGGAGACTATAGTCACACGTGTACTGAATATGTACCCAAAATTTTAGCCCAATTGGTCGAGTAGATTTCGTTTTGGAGAATATAGTTTCGAGAGTAACAATGATGTTGACCATCTTTGACGTCTTTGAGCAGCCATAACCTCGTAAATGGAGTTCAGGTATAAGTTAAAAGTTAAACGGAATACTTTTTCAACCCCAAATATGGTTGATCCAATAACAAACTGACAAATTTGCCGGCCGGTGACTTTTATTTCCATCGAAAACGTTCCCGGGGATTAACATTTCTGTCGGTAGGTGAGATTTTTTGCATGAATTCCGGCGGAAATAGCCGGGGACCGCAAGTGGTGCTCGGATCGCGGGATCGCGAAAAGCAGACGCGAATGAAAACACTGTCGCTGCGATCAATCGACGGCGAGCGTGTGACGCGAAAATTACGTTCTGCCGTTGGTTGTGTGTTTTCCCTCGTCCCTCGTCCGCGCACCGGTTAAATATGAATTTTTCATTTCATATTTAAATACGCCGCAGTGCACCAACAACGACCGGCGCTGGCTCGATTCGCGTGCCAACAGATCGATGAACACGGAGCGAACGATAATTTTATTAATCATTCACATATGGCGATCCCCTGTTCCGCGATTACGTTCGTTCGCCGATAAAAAAACAGATACGATCGGGGAACCCGTAAAAACCCCCGAATCGCGATATTCGTTCCGCCCCGGAACGATTAAACTTTCATTCCCGGTGTCGATCGATTTGGAATTTTACTTCTTCGCGATTGCAATTTGCATTTTCACACTTTCGAGACTTTTTTTTCGATATTTTTTTTAGAAAATTTGAGTCACACTGTATGTTCAACCCTCGATTATATCTTTATATTATCAGTAGTTGTAAGATATTTATTAAAAATTAGAAATTTAACACAATGGAATGAGAATTTTGCATGGGTCAGAATGGATTCAGAGTCCACTGAACGAGCAGTCTTTTATCATGTATAAAAAATCGGAAATTCAGGAAAATTTTGCATGGGTCAGAATGGGCCCATAGTCCACTATACAACCAGTCTTTTATCATTTATAAAAAGTCAGAAGTTCAGGAGAATTTTGCATGGGTCAGAATAGACCCAGAGTCTATCGGATGACTTTGAAAAATTTTCTGGAGAAACATAGTGATGTATTCTTTATTTACAACCCCTACACCCCATTTATAGACGATGATTTAATAAATAGAAGTGAATAACTAAGCTGTGAGAGGGTTGAACACCAAGGAATGCTCGCGAGAGGAAGCACGCAGTGATTTAGAACCGAGAGATCGATCCTGGAGCCTGGTGAATCCTTACCATGGGCGCGCCGACCACTTGGAGAGACACAGGGTCGCTTTTAACTTCCCTGACGTTTCCATTGATCTTGTTCGAGGCGAGACATATGTATTGACCCTGTTGCTCGTACGTCACGTTCGTCAGGATCAATCGTTGCCCTGTTCCGCACTCCAATGGCATCCGGCCATCGGTGAAGATCTGGGCCCACCTGATTCGTGTGAAAAATCGTCGCGTTTCAAGTCGACTTCCCCCCGGGGGGTTCCCTAATTTTCTACCACGTGCAAACGTTCCTCGCGAAACGGTCTAAGATACAGAAACACACATGGAAAACAAAAACAAACTACTCGATGCAAACTTAATTCTCAATCAAAACATAAATAAATTAGGTTAATAATAAATGAATTATTAAACACAATTTTTAAATCATCCCCCACTGGGAGACTATTCCAACCATGCAATTCAGAAAATGGGATACACAATTTATGGAAAACATAATTAAAATTGTATAAATGTTCATTTTTTAAATAAATATTCAAATAAAATAATTCTCTACAAAAATAAAATATTTACATATATAGTGAGGGTTGATAAACCCTCTAGTAAGCTATTTATCAATTAAATACAATTTTGGAATCATCCCCTACAAAAACAAAACTATTCAGACCATTCAGAAAATTACATAAACAATTTACAAAAATAGTACACGAATTCACATTTTCGAAATAAACATTAAAATAGCTCCCGATGGAAATGAAATATTCACGTGCATGCGGACACACAGTACGAGGAATGGGGACCACGATGAGGGTTGGTAAACGCTACCCCCGCTGAGGTATTTATCGATTGTATCGTTTTTCGAGTCGATGGAAACGAAGGAACGTGATGGACATCGCGTAAATGAACAATCTGCGAGTCACGGGGGCGGGATACGCCGGCATGCAAGATATTCGCGTGACGGGCAGTATCCGGGGGTTAGGGTTACCTGTATTCAGCCGGAGGCATGGCGTCGGCCGTGCACTCGAACGATGCGCCGGAATACAGCAACGCCGTGGTCAAACGATCGGGCCCCACCGTTCTGATCGTCGGGGGATCTGCACGGAAATGCTATTTATCGATTACGGATCGCGAACACGCCATGGACAAACACATCTACCCGATCGAACCGCGACAATACCATTTTTCTTCGTCGAAAACTACCCCCAAAACATCTGCACACATTTATTTACAGGGGATTTTCTCAACTTTAAATTGTAAACTTAGCTATCGAATTAAAAAAAAAATATTAATTTTGGTACCCCTGAAGCAATAATAAAATAATTGTTATATATTTTTGCAGTACCCCAAGCTTGTATGCAACCACCATAAACAGAAACGTATAAAAGTGACGATATCGTAGGCTCGTCCATGCCTAGGAAGCACCCTGCACAATGTCCATCGACCGGGAAGGGTTAATTACCCGGGGTCCCCAGGGTGCAAGTAACGGCGAGGAAGCGCTAAAATTACACTCAACCTGCTATTTTTACCCCTCCAGAACCGTCTCCCTTCCGCAAATGTCGATCGTTTAATAAGCTTGTTCGCGTCTCGGCCGTTAAAGGGTTATTTTCGTACGGGAGGGGGTTGGAAACTAGACCAGGCAGGAAACACTCACAGTTAACGGACACTTGAACGGACACGGGGCTGCTTTCACCCTCGGTGTTGGCCGCCTCGCAGATATAGACTGCCGCGTGATTTCTATAGATCGGCGAGAATAGAAGGGTTTCCCCTATACTGGCCACCTCCGACTCCCCCGGGCTCTTCGTTTTCCTCCAGAGGATCGAGGCGGAGGGATTCGCGTCCGCCAGGCATCGGATCTCCAGCTGATCACGACCTTCTTCCAGCTGGCCGGTCGGTACGCCCACCAGTCTCGTTTCGGGCGCGTCTGAAACATTTTCACCCGTTAGAAATGGGGGAAATAATGTTACAACCATCAGAAAGTCGTGTGGAAATTTATTCGTAACGATTGGGGAATAAACAGGCTTTTAAACTACCGAATACGACTCTAAATATTAATTTTTAATTAAATAAAACGATCCAGTTTCATTGTACACCGGTTGTATAATCGATAGGAATTGATAAAATATTTTTGGGTGCATGGAGTCAAAGAAAATTTAAAAATAAACGTAGAAGATGGGGTAAATGATAGTTTGCGATACGTTCGTTGGATAGGGGATGAAATTCCCTTTAAAATGAGCGTTTAAACGAGTCAATCGGACGGTTAGTTCCGGAGATACGAGGCTTCAAAGGGTTTGTTTACATTTCGTTGCTGACGCCGCGCGGTCAGTGACCTCGCAGTAAACAGTAAACATGGCGTCACTCGGTCAGTCGGTCGCTAGTCACGCGACAGAGAGAGAGGTCCGACGCGTTAGACGGAGAAAGAGATAATCGAATTAAAAAAATTACCATTCACATAAATTACGATATCTCGAAAACGGAAAGTCGGATCGACAAAAACCATTAACCATTTTTAAAGAGGAAGCTTTGCCGCTGCTAATGGTTCCTTAATTTTGGATAAAGCTCTAATAGTTTCGGAGCTACAAGTGTTTAAAGTTTTACTATTTTTAATACGCGTTTTCAGACTGTTCTAAGAGGGATGGAATATTTCTTTTTGTGTTTTTTATTCGCTCACGACCAGAATACTGTCTCACTAATTACTATTAACGATGCTGCGATATTATCCGTTTAACATGAATCTATTTTACGAATCAGGATGATACCGTATCGTGGCTAATGTTTGACGATGATAAAACAGCGCAAGTAGAGCCGGTGATTAATGGTCAGACGTGCAGCACGCCAAGTCGTATTCAATCGCTGCAAACCGACTGGAAAAACAGGAAATGAAATCAGAGAGCACTCGACACGGTCCACGAAACTTCTGATTAATTCTCTGTTACTATCCTTCTTTAAAAAAAAATATTTAAAATATTTATCGACTGTCAGTCGACTTATCGGTCGGTAAGTGTCCAGCAGTTATCGACAGTCAGCCGATTTATCGGTCGGTAAGTGTTCACTAGTTATCGACCGTAGATGGTTACCGACCGTTCATATCGACAGAATGAATACTAAATAATATTTTAACTATAGTATTTACAAATATTCGTTGATTTCGCGTTCCATGAAACGTTGTAGAGTAGAAAGAGGGGCTGATGGATGCTGAATACCGCCGAAGGGGACGAATAAATCACGAAACAAAGTTAATAATAATACTGTCTGTCGCGCAGAGAAGTTTCTTCTTAAAAAAAAAAACTATTTAAAAATCTGTGCGGCATATTTAACAAATTTCTGGAGATTAAATGGCGGCGAGTTTCCTCGGGGATAATTTGTGGGAGATCCGGGACTCCAAACCTCCCTGGAACTGCCATCATTTCCGGGGGGCGGAGGTGGGGGGGATGGCGACACGGGAGTTTATCCAGCTCCGTACAGTCCCTGTTGCGTTTCCATTTCCAAAACGATCAATGGTCGAATAAGCGAGATTTTAATTATACCCCGACGATCGCGGTGGACACTGACGCGAGGGAGGGGGGAAATTAATTTTCCATCTTAAAAAACTTTCAGCCAGCGTTGGTCCTTCGACAAACGAGCGGCGAGATTTAATCGGAATCGCGAACCAAAGGGGGGGAGGGGAGGGAATTGCTATCACGGGCTTTAATCATACCGAAGCGGATCCGCGGAAAACTGCGAAAAATAAACACTCGCCGCGGCGAGAGCAAACGCAGCGCCACGGCTAGCAAAGTTTTCAGATTAAATCCTTCGTTAATGAGCGCGTAATTAAAAGCGGACCCCGCGAGCCGGAGGGGAGGGGGGGGGGCGGGGTCGTCTGTGAAACCTCGTCGATCGACGACTCCTCGATTTTCCGCTTCGATCGGAACAAAGACCTTTCGCAATGGTAAAAAAAAAAAAAAAGAGAAAAAAGGAAACGATCGCTGGGAAACCGATGACGGAACGGAAAACAATGGGGCACGCGCGAGCACGTTCGACGGGGCTCGAAATGACGAATCCCGGAGGTACTGTTTCGTTGTTCCTTGTCGGGAATAATTAGCCTAGCACCGAAAAAATTCAATTGCACCTGCGGGTAGTTAATCCTTGCGAGGGTCCTGGGGAAAAGTCCTCGGTTAGTTTTTTTTTCTTTTTCACGGGTAATTAATCGACGAATTTAAGTCGATTGATTAACCGTTCTGGAGGGGTGGGAAGGGGAGGGGAGGGGGTAAAAAAAAAGTTAATTGGCCCTACGCGTTGAGAGATCGCGGAACCGTGGCCTGCAACGCTCCTGGAACAATACATCATCGGAGCCTCGATGGATACGGCCTGAATCGTTCGATTTTTCAGACCGTGTCCGACAAACGTAGCGCGACAACCCGGAAACGCTGAGTTTGATTAATGTCGCGTCGACGAATGTACATTCGCGACGGCCTTTCCGCGGGATTCCCCCTTTTTTTTTTTCGATGATGTCCTAATTTATCGGGTCGATGTATCACGCGATTTTTCGGAAGATCGTGTTCTAATTGGGTCGACAGAAATTATTGTCGAACCCTATAATTGGTGTTTTTTAAATTGGGTAGTGTTTTTATTTATAATTAGGGTCGAGATTTATTTTCTAGGGGTAAATAAATGTTTCTAAAATAAATTTTAAAATTTTGGAGGTTTTAATAGTCTCCCCCCAAAAATATATTTGCACTATAAATTTACTTTGTAAACCCTTTTGAAAAGAGAAACAACAAAAAAAAAGTCAATAAAAATTATATTCAAATTCTATAATCAGTGTTTTAAAATTTTAATTGAGAATAAATTTCCAGGGACAAATAAATGTTTCTAAAATAAATTTTAAAATTTTGGAGGTTTTACTAGCCCTAAAAACAATATATTTGCACTATAAATTTACTTTGCAACCCCTCTTTTAAAAAAGAAACCTCGAGGACCTTTAATATTCCCATTTTTGGGGGTGAATTCGATCCGAGCGGGGGCGCCGTGTGGAAAACAATTTATCGCATTAATAGACAATTGCATCCATCGGGCACCACCCCGGTTGATTTAAACCAATGAAACAGTTCCCCCCGGCCACCGTGAAACGTCACAAATGACGGTTAATTAATGTCGGAGCACAGATCCAAATTGTATTAATTAATAGTTTCCCAGCCCGCGACCTATTTCCCGGGGGACGCCAAAAAATAACAAGCTTCTATTCAGACTTGGAAATGCGATTACGCGACTGGCAAAGAGAGTCGAGCAAACTGGAAACTGTCTGGAAACCCCCGCGTCTTTCCCTCGACGCAACTTGAGGGGTGCGGGGGGGAGGGTTAACTCGGTTGTACGATTAATTATTTCTTTTGTCGTCGGATTAACGGGGGCACGGGTCCCCTTTACCGGATCCCTGCTCGTGTTTTTCCCCTTGGAACCTGCTTTTTAGCGGATTGATCGATGAAAAAAAGGAAACAATCGTCCTTAATGTCCTCCGGGCGCGGAAGATGGAACGATATCCGGGGCTGAGTCGAGTTTCGCGTGTACTTACGAGTTCGAAACCGTTCGGGATACGTTTTATTCGGACGTCGGACGATCGATATTACGTCAGCGAAAACACGAAAGGCATCATTAGTTACGTTCGAACCACCGCCTATAATAACCGTCTCGAAACTTGGATTTCAATCTCGGGCGTAGTTTCGCAATAAGACAGCGATTTCTCATTCTATTACCGGGGTAACTCGCTCTCGACGCTCCGCTTTACGTTAATTTATTATGAAGATATCTCGTTCGTAATACGCCCTCGATTAGGTGCAATTCGAATTAAATACTTCGAGAAACGAAAATAGTAGTTTGTAAATTGAATTTTTGAAAGTTTTGTTTGAGATATATTTCTACGACACACTGTGCTGATTATGAATTTTTAGTAAAATTTTCTTACATCAGTGATTTTAATTTTAGAGAATTTTTTCAGTGTTTATAATGAAAATGTGTTATTTTTGTAATTAGTTTTATTCATTCTGGAAAAATTATTTTTGATTGCAGGGGACAATTACAATTATTTTTGGTGAATACATATACCCTCGAAATCCTACGCAATTTCGAGAAAAAAATTCGAGAAGGTGGGCCAAAAATTTCAAATTGTTCTGAAAAAATTATTTTTGGTTAAGGGGGTTCATTGCAATTATTTTTGGTCAATAGACATACCCCCGAAATCCTAACCAATTTCGAGAAAAAAATTCCTTACCGAAAATATAATTTGTGGCCAGAAATGTCTGCTCGAATTTTCATGCGAATCTTTAAAACGTCATAACTTCTGAACGGATTGGACGATTTTAATGTTTAAAAAGGCAAACGACGCGTATTTTGTCGAAGATTATGTAGAAATTCCAAAAATGATCAAAAAGTTGATCCTTGACATCGCAAAATGAGGGAGAGCCCATAAAAATGGTCCAATTTTCAAACAGCCATAACTTCTACAATAGTGAATATATTGCAATGAAACTTTTTTCTGAAGTAGACCTCATGGGTACCTATGAAAAAGTATTGGTCAACTTATCTATAGGGCGTCAACTAAATTTATTAAAAATGCAAAACTAGTTTTCAAGAAAAATCGACAGGGATAGGTGCCTTTTCTCGGCGAGAAAAAAAAATTTCAAATCGTTCTAAAAAAATTATTTTCGGTTTCAGGGGTCAAGTACAATCATTTTTGGTGAATAGACATACCCTCGAAATCCTAACCAATTTCGAGAAAAAAATTCAATAATTGGATAAATTTTTCGACGAAATTAAAACATGTCAATTCGTTCTAAAAAAATTATTTTCGGTTTCAGGGGTCAAGTACAATCACTTTTGGTCAATAGACATACCCCCGAAATCCTACACACTTTCGAGAAAAAAATTCCTTACCGAAAATATAATTTCTGG